GAGTAGAAGGTTAGTAGTAAATTAATGAAATTGGATTCAAATAAGCTGATTTTGAAGCGATGCAGATATGCAAACGCTGATTGAAATTCTCAGCAATAGGTCACAAGTCTTCTACATTTAATCCTTCCCATTTTCGCCGAAGCGATTGCTATAGAGTCCGAACTTTTGAATGGTTTAGAGCAGGTCCAAGTCACCAAAATCGTCCATAAACTGTAATCCAAAGGACATGGACTACAGCAACTATTGAATGTACTCCATGGATTTTGCTTCAATTTGTAAAAAAGCTCATAAGAAACAATAGGTAAGCTAAGAGATATATTATAAAATACACTGCCGACCACCCAAATTGCAACACCAACAAAGACAAGAGATATCATGATAAAATTTATTTTGTGGATAACATGCTGACCAAGTATCAAATGTTTAAATTTATAGACTTCTGTGAAGTGTGGTTCTTGCCAAAATCAGTAGACAGAGTAGCCGCCATTGTTGGAGATCACCGCTGCCACACGCCTCGGCATTGATTCAAAGAGACTTTGGATGTATTCTTGGAGTACAGCAAACCAAGCAGCTTCCACACGTTGCCAAAGTTTTTCTGGTGTGGCAGCTGGGGATGTAATATGGGTCAATCGTTGAGCAATCATGGCCCACATGTTTTCTATCGGCTAAAGATCCGGAGAGTGAGCTGGCCAGGGAAGCAATTCAATCTGGTGATGGACGAAGAACTCTTGGACAATGCGTGCCACGTGTGGTCGCGCATTAACCTGTTGAAATATGGCTTTGGGTAAGCTCTGAAGGTAAGGAAGGACAACTGGCTCCAGCACCTCGGAGATGTAGAGCTGACTGTTTAAAGTACCGGCAATGCGTACTAGAGGAGTGCGAGAGTGATATCCAATACCTCCCCATTCCATAATACCCGGTGCAAGACCAATCTCGGTAGGCCACTATCCTTCCTCTGTCGAACTCGGATACTTGATCAAAAGATGATCGCTGTTTTCTATGAGGCATGATCGTTTTTTGAAAAACCACAAGAGAAACACAATTGCCGAACTTGAAATCGTCGATATCTCCAAGTCTTAAATAGCTCTTTGAAGTGGCGCCACAGGCGCGCGTAATGTGCATCTGCGCTGAAATTCTAATTATTTGCAAATCTCACCTCCGCTAATGCATGTTGTAAATTTCATGTTATTTCCATGCTTCCTTCAGGGTGTTGCATTTACGGTGGCCAGCAGTGTAGTTATCATTTAAGTAGAAGACAACAAAAAAATGTGGAGTAATATTGAGTAATGTCGAAAAAAAAACGAACGCACAAATTGAAAAGAAATGTGAAGATTTCCATGATGCAATACCTTTATTCAAGTTTTTCTTTTTTTTTTGACACACCCAGAATTTTTCATATTTTTCATTTCTGCTATTATTATAGAACCTGAAGCATAATAAATTTTGTCTGGTTTCGACATTATTAACAAAAGTTATTTTTATGATTTCTAGTTTAATCGATGGTAATCCAAGAATGTTAAGAAGAGTTATGTTCGATAAAATATAGTAATAAAGTATGAATAGTTTGAATTTTATTTTTTGTTTGCCATTCCTCGTTTCAGCTATCTATTCAGTTAAATATTTAGATAGCTGAATTTGCTTTGACTCTTTTATACATTTGTTATTTTAATGCAGAAGATATTATTTTGCATTGATAAATGCCAAATAAAGAATATAAGTACCTAAGGATATTATATTTATTATTGTATAAAGAAAATAATGAATTAAATCATTTTAGTACATTTCCGGGATATGTAATAAAATGCCATTTTAATACATATCATGTATATCCGGGAACCTTTTCTTAAGTATTAATATATTAAAAATTTCCTTATTATTTCTATTTACACTGTTAGAATTTTCATTTTAAACTTATGGTAAAATAACCGGTTGCAGTTGGTTTGTCCAATTAACCGTCATTTACCGTCTGATTAACCATCTGTCCAATTAACCGTCATCAATTTACGGTCAAGAACAATTTTTACATTTACGATTTTGAAACAGTTTACAACTAATATTGTTAAGACACCATGAATACAGAATTATAAGTTTTTCTTGATCATTTAATCTAGCATGGTTTCAGAACGGCAAAAAAATTTAATTGGACATAAGAGATAGTTTAGTACCTTTACAGTGCTGCCATCTATGCTTCAATAAGAGTGTCGTACTCCAGGGTCACAGATTCAGGAGTGCAGGACGTTGGAAACTCTTCATGTGTTGAAGCGAGTGGAGGAAATATTGTAGTGTAGACTTGGAACTCGAGCCCCTGTTCTGTCTCTCACGAGATTGACAGAGATTAGCCCTCTCAGCTATAATACGTACGGGGGGTCTAGTTGGTGTGATAAAATTCTGACTGTTAAACCATATTAGGGGAAAGCAGTTAATAAACGGTTTTTCTCACACTTAATAGTTTGAATATCATCTTATTTATGGTTATTTGATGTTTTCTTTGAATATGGTACAGAAACATTTAAATAAATTGATATTTAGCCATTTTACCCAGAAATTTTTAACAGTGTACATTTCAAAAATATTTTTCAAAAATCAGTTACTCTGCTTTTATGATACTAAAAGTTTGAAGAGAGGGGTGCTAACTTAGGCACTATTCATTGCGTTTGAGCGGAGCCAAAATTATGTTGCATTCTTACTATCGTTGTTAAAAGATAGAGTTATTAAAAACGGGGATGAGTGTTTCTTAATGGTAGGGAGATATGAGTTTAAATTCAGCCTTTTGGTCCTAATTATTCCTTTGAGCTCAAATACATTCTGTAATATTTGTCTTTTCACATAGTTTTGAAATATTTCTCAAAGATAGAGCATTTATAACCTATCCATTAGGAGTCGAGAAATGATATTTGAGTTGATAAAAACGGTTTTTAAAATTTAAAAAATTCATTGCCAAAGTGAATAGCTAAAAATTTTTTAATTAAAGATCATCATAACTAGATCATTAATGAGAATGGGTATTTATTACTACTGAAGGGTAAAATGTTTACTAAAAATAAGCAAGTCATCATTTTGAAGAATATCAGGTACTGTGAACAGTACGTAGCATATGTATAATTTGTTTTAAAATTTTAATGTTCAAATAAATAATTTTATGTAATTAAATTTTTAACGCATATTTTATCACGGCATTAAAAATATGCTAATTATGTTTAAAAAATGTATAGAAATGTCTTAGCTGACGTCACTTTACTAAACCGTTCACTGGAATTCCATCAATGATCAATCAGTTACAGATGCAACCAATAGGAATATATTTTTATTGGAATAGGAATACGAATGGCCCAGTAGGAATAGTGCAGAGGGAAAATAATCGAATGATTGTGGAACTTTGATCTAGCTCAGCCTCTGGCTCGAACGTCTCTATAGAAGTGTTTTTAAGGTTAAAATAGCAAGGCCCCTAAATTTAAAATCAAATGAATTTTAATACTTGAATTTTGAATAAGTATTTTCGAAAAAAACTACATTTATCAAAAATTTTATTACGTTATACTTTCAAAAAACAGTAACGTAGAATGAATTGATCACGTAAGTTACAAAGTTTGTTAAATTAATTAATAAATTATTCTTCCTGCTTTTTTTCTACTTAAATGTTTTCAAAACGTTTATTTATAAAATAATTCTTATTGTCAGAATTTTTTAATGTGCATGATTTTACACTTAACTATTAGACCTTTCATTTCACTTTACTTATAGCTTTTCCAACTTGCAATAAAATGCAAAATAATTTTATTTTTGGAAGATCATCGACCTGAAGTTTAATCATCGACCTGATAAAAAAAAACAGAAAACTGATTTCAAAACTCAGCATAAATTTTCTATTTAATTTCTACAATAAAAGAAGAGTTTTTATTCTCAATGCCATTAAGGAGTGGTTATATTTTAGTCTGATTTTTTTTCCAGCTCTGAAGAAATCACGTAATTTCTTCGAATCTGATCTTGTAAACGAGTCTGTTTCGTGACTCACCAGAAGCATAAAAAATATGATCTCAATAACTTATTTAATATTTTAAAATAATATATTTTTCCATGTTTCAGTTTCAATTGTATTGATCGATATGAAATAATATGTTTTGAATCAAACGAATTTCTTAGTGCATCAGATTAGAAAATGTTCGACTTATATTAACATCCTCTTTACGATGTCACCATCGTTTTAATTATTTGTTTAAAAATAATTCTTTAAAATTTTTAAATTTGTATCTTTGCCTCTTTGAATATTCATAAAGGATCAATGTAGCATGTCTACAAAAGATTTGAATTGTGCACAGATAAAAAAAAACTATGATCAAAACTACTTGAATATGGTAAAATGTACCGTTTCTCTGACTTTATGGGAATACCAAAAAACTCGGTAATTTTTGATAATGATTTAGATAATATTAACAGTAAATTATGGTTTCATGACGTGTGTTAATTTTATCATTTTTCCCCTAGAGCATGGTATGAAAACCATTCATTCAATTAAATTTACTTTCTTGTTTTGTATTTTTCACTTAATGCGAGATAAAAGAACTATAATTTTGAAAACCGAAATTTCCGATTAACTATTACCATATGAAAGGAAAAATTACCAAATTAATGGTTTAAATACTGTATATTTTGGTTTCATTAACCAGAATTATGTTGTTTTTTTAAACCAGAAAAATCATTACCATACAATTTGGTAATTTTACCAGATTTATTTTCTCCGTGCGAGGAAAGTTTTATAATAAAAGTACTCACAATAATTATAAATATTAAAAAAAAAATCGAATGGACTTATGGTACGTTATTTAGCTCTTAAAAAGAGTCAATTTTTGACCTTGACATTGATTTATTGAAAGAAAAGAATTTAAAATTTGTATTTACAGAATATAAAATAAATTTTTCTAGTACTCGAAATAAATTTTCTGGTGAACATCAGCCAACAATGGATGGAGTCTCCTATTTAAAAGAAGAAGAAAAAAGACAACTGTATGTATTAAAAAATTTATTTACAAGATTGCGTTTCTAACATTCAAGATCTCCTCTTACAGATTCTGAAACTTTTTTACCATCTTCGTCAACACACCAACAGAGTCCAATAGATCCATGGCACTGTTTCTTGGCATAAGTACCATCTTCATGGCAACTGGGTATGAAGTTTCCAATTATTCCTTTGGCGGCTGAAAAGATAGTTTCATAAGAATTTAATCAAGGTTCTAAACTTAATTTTTGAGGATTTAAAAGAATGATCTGAAAATAAGTCGCCACCTAAGCCTACTCGTTGTTTAGTAGAAACGAACTTAAAGCTAAATTGTTGGTGAAAACACTTCCAGAGTTTACTCTGGAAGATTACTTAACAGCCCTAGAATATTCAAACTCATTATAAGATACAACCATTTCGTTTATGGAGCGTAGGTATCATTTTCAACATTTGTTTGAAATTACGACCCTTATATAAAGGTTCGCATAAGCATTATTTACTTTCATGAAAGTGCAAACGACTTGCTTTATTTTTTTAATTCCCATAGCAACGATTGTTTTCGGTGTTCTATAATGACTATGTAGGTCATAACATTATCGAATCCAAGTATTTTTCGATTTTATTGTGATAAATGAGTCCCTTTCAAACATAATAAACTATTCTAGAAGTATCGTTTGAGATAATATAAGATTTCATTGTGTTAGTTTAACGAAATTATATATGTTAGGCGTTTATTGTCTGTACGCCATTGTTCGTCTATATTCTGTATTTTTCGTTAAATAAAACTATTTGTGATTACCTCTTGATATTCAATTCATTGCTACTTATAAAGTGGTGGGGAAAATATACTCGAGGGTGCCCCTTGGCGAAATTGGCGACTTATGTTTGGCGCCATTCCTGTTTGCGCGGAACACCGTGGTAACAGGAATGGCGGCCAAAACATAATGGTATTTCAATAAAACATAATTAGAATATGAAAAATTCATGTCCTTCTACTTATTATAGTATATTTTGTGTATCTCAATTTATTTCGAAGCTATACCCTATCTTAGAGATGACCTGTTCTCGGAAGTGAGTGCCACTTTGATTAGCCTGCATAGGGACCGAGGGTGCGTGGTATAGGTCCTCGTTAAGCTGTTCTATCGTAAAGTGCTCGACTTGCGAGCTGGTCGTCAGGCTACCGATGCAAGATAGCCATCCTCTCTGCCGAGGATCGAAATTTAAATGGCATGTCTTCGGATCATCCTCAGGGATGCTTCCTAGACCATCACCAATAGCCCATTGTGCAGCTCTAGTGCAACGTTAATGAAGTACTGACCTACCTACTTAGTCTAAGGCATAAATAAATTACATATTTCGTTTCCAAATGTCAAATTATTAATGTTTTCTCTTGTTAAAAGCAATGTCTGGTATGCATTTTAAGGTTTTGACCGAAAACGGGTCATTGTTCTAATTACTTTTTTAATTAAAAACTAAATAATGTTAACTCACATCTGAAAAGGAATATTTTATAGCCACCCATACCTTAATGTCATAATATAAAATAAATAAATAAAAAAAATTTCTATATATCAATATGAAACTTAACTATTCAGCTTTTTATCTCTTCCATAAAATTAATTTTATTGGACATGACCGATTTTCGAACTTTTTGATTAATTTAAATCTAAAATAACAACTCATCATGACCATAACCCATATTTTTGAATACACAAATCCTTAATAATGAAACATCCCTTTAGAGAAAACAAAATTCTCTTAATATATTTTTCAAACTACTAGGTACTAGGGAATCAATACAGTTATGCCAATTTAACAAGTACTAAACTAAACTCACAAGGGAAACTAGGGAAGAGTGACTCGCCAATTTTGAAATAAACTAGTGGGATGTATGCCTTATGAGGAATAATTTTAGGGCGCAACATTCGTTTTGGCCCATAGAGGATCCTGTGAGAGATAAAAAATAATTCAATACATAGAAAAATCGGTATTTTATTACTTCAATGCAGGCTATTAGTTATTGTAATTGTCTCATAATCCGATTAATTTGTTGCTAATTGTATAATTAATTAATTTGCAAATTAATAAATTAATCAGAGTTAATTATCAATTAATTGTTAATTAATTATTAGTTAATAATTTTATTTGAAATTACGTACTCCAATTAATTTGGAAAGTATTTTGGAAAAAAAATTTAAAAAATTTGATGTAAATTTTTTTTTAAAATTAGCCTAACAGGTTTTTCTGAAAACTACAGATATATAAAATTTTCGAAATCAATTTTGACAATATGCATTATATAGTACGTGAAAGTACCACAAAATTAATCGGAGTATGAGACAATCACAATAGCTAATAGTCTGCATTGAGGTAATAAAATACCGATTTTTCTATATATTGAATTATTTTTTATCTCTCACAGGACCTTCTATGGATCGAAACGAATGTTGCCCCCTAAAATTATTCCTCATAAGGCATACATCACACTAGTTTATTTCAAAATTGGCGAGTCACACTTCCCTAGTTTTCCTCGACAGTGACACGACAGCCAATAGAAGGCCAATGCCTAATGTGGTCATCTCAGTTTTTTTTTTACCTTGGACTTTGGGGTGCAAGAGCAGATGCCCCGGTTGGGTGGTCAAGCCAACGCGGAATCCCCAGTATTTAGTCCCTAAGCATGCTTGATGCTCATTTTATCGGCCCACTGAAGAGATGAAAAGCTGAGTCAACCTTGCCCGGCCCGAGGATAGAACCAAGCACCTGTGGCATAAGAGCTCGAAAAGCTACCACTCCGCCACCGGGCAATTCAGCAAGTACTAGCTATAAAATGTTCCATTATTTACCTAATGATAGCTCTCGATCTTTGTGAACATGGCAAGTACATGTCTTGATCTTCTTAGAAGGATCGGTGATATGGCTACCATCAGGTCTCCAGCACATGCAGAAATTGGAGTTTTCGAAGCATTGAAGATCTTCATAGTCTCCCTCTCGTGTGCATTTAGGCACGAGTTTTACATGAGCATTTGATTCGAGTTCTCTTTGGCGGTGTTCTTCACACTGCGAATCGGCGTTGGCACTGATCAAACACGCAGCAGCGATTACAGCAACTAGAACAACCTTCATTTTTGTCTAACTATAAAAAAACATTTCACAACTACTTTTTTATATTTTATAATGATATGGAAAAAAAATTTCCCTTCCCGCCCTTATTTAGGGCATTCGGGTAAAATAAAAAAAAATCCAAAGAACAGTACAAACATAAAATACATATCAGACATGATAAACAGCCCATGAACATGGCGGGCGCAGAGCAGCAGAAATCATGTAANTCACGAGATTGACAGAGATTAGCCCTCTCAGCTATAATACGTACGGGGGGTCTAGTTGGTGTGATAAAATTCTGACTGTTAAACCATATTAGGGGAAAGCAGTTAATAAACGGTTTTTCTCACACTTAATAGTTTGAATATCATCTTATTTATGGTTATTTGATGTTTTCTTTGAATATGGTACAGAAACATTTAAATAAATTGATATTTAGCCATTTTACCCAGAAATTTTTAACAGTGTACATTTCAAAAATATTTTTCAAAAATCAGTTACTCTGCTTTTATGATACTAAAAGTTTGAAGAGAGGGGTGCTAACTTAGGCACTATTCATTGCGTTTGAGCGGAGCCAAAATTATGTTGCATTCTTACTATCGTTGTTAAAAGATAGAGTTATTAAAAACGGGGATGAGTGTTTCTTAATGGTAGGGAGATATGAGTTTAAATTCAGCCTTTTGGTCCTAATTATTCCTTTGAGCTCAAATACATTCTGTAATATTTGTCTTTTCACATAGTTTTGAAATATTTCTCAAAGATAGAGCATTTATAACCTATCCATTAGGAGTCGAGAAATGATATTTGAGTTGATAAAAACGGTTTTTAAAATTTAAAAAATTCATTGCCAAAGTGAATAGCTAAAAATTTTTTAATTAAAGATCATCATAACTAGATCATTAATGAGAATGGGTATTTATTACTACTGAAGGGTAAAATGTTTACTAAAAATAAGCAAGTCATCATTTTGAAGAATATCAGGTACTGTGAACAGTACGTAGCATATGTATAATTTGTTTTAAAATTTTAATGTTCAAATAAATAATTTTATGTAATTAAATTTTTAACGCATATTTTATCACGGCATTAAAAATATGCTAATTATGTTTAAAAAATGTATAGAAATGTCTTAGCTGACGTCACTTTACTAAACCGTTCACTGGAATTCCATCAATGATCAATCAGTTACAGATGCAACCAATAGGAATATATTTTTATTGGAATAGGAATACGAATGGCCCAGTAGGAATAGTGCAGAGGGAAAATAATCGAATGATTGTGGAACTTTGATCTAGCTCAGCCTCTGGCTCGAACGTCTCTATAGAAGTGTTTTTAAGGTTAAAATAGCAAGGCCCCTAAATTTAAAATCAAATGAATTTTAATACTTGAATTTTGAATAAGTATTTTCGAAAAAAACTACATTTATCAAAAATTTTATTACGTTATACTTTCAAAAAACAGTAACGTAGAATGAATTGATCACGTAAGTTACAAAGTTTGTTAAATTAATTAATAAATTATTCTTCCTGCTTTTTTTCTACTTAAATGTTTTCAAAACGTTTATTTATAAAATAATTCTTATTGTCAGAATTTTTTAATGTGCATGATTTTACACTTAACTATTAGACCTTTCATTTCACTTTACTTATAGCTTTTCCAACTTGCAATAAAATGCAAAATAATTTTATTTTTGGAAGATCATCGACCTGAAGTTTAATCATCGACCTGATAAAAAAAAACAGAAAACTGATTTCAAAACTCAGCATAAATTTTCTATTTAATTTCTACAATAAAAGGAAAGTTTTTATTCTCAATGCCATTAAGGAGTGGTTATATTTTAGTCTGATTTTTTTTCCAGCTCTGAAGAAATCACGTAATTTCTTAGAATCTGATCTTGTAAACGAGTCTGTTTCGTGACTCACCAGAAACATAAAAAATATGATCTCAATAACTTATTTAATATTTTGAAATAATATATTTTTCTATGTTTCAGTTTTAATTGTATTAATCGATATGAAATAATGTTATGATATATTTTGTATCTTCCTATGTTATGATATGTTTTGAATCAAAAGAATTTCTTAGTGCATCAGATCAGAAAATGTTCGACTTATTTTAACATCCTCTTTACGATGTCACCATCGTTTTAATTATTTGTTTAAAAACAATTCTTTAAAATTTTTAAATTTGTATCTTTGCCTCGTTGAATATTCATAAAGGATCCATGTAGCATGCATGCAAATGATTTGAATTGTGCACTGAGAAAAAAAAACTATGATCAAAACTACTTGAATATGGTAAAATGTACCGTTTCTCTGACTTTATGGGATTACCAAAAATTTGGTAATTTTTAACGAAGGTAATGATTTTGATAATATTAGCAGTAAATTATGGTTTTATGACGTGTGATAATTTTATCATGTTTCCCCTAGAGCATGATTTGAAAACCATTTATTCGATTAAATTTACTTTCTTGTTTTGTATTTTTCACTTAATGCAAGGTAAAAAGAACTATAATTATGAAAACCGAAATTTCCGATAAACTGTTGCCATATGAAAGGAAAAATTATCAAATGAATGGTTTAAATATTGTATATTTTGGTTTCATTAACCGGAATTACGTAGCTTTTTATTTTCCAGAAATTTCATTACTACACAATTTGGTAATTTTACATGAATTATTTTCTCCGTGCGAGAAAAGTTTAATAATAAAAGTACTCACTATAATTATAAATATAAAAAAAAATCTAATAGTTTTATGGTAAGTTAAATAGCTCTAAAAGGGTCGATTTCTGACCTTGTCATTGATTTATTAAAAAAAAAGAATTAAAAATTTGTATTTACAGGATATAAAATAAATTTTTCTAGCACTCGAAATAAATTTCCTGTTTTGTATTTTTCACTTAATGTGTGGTAAAAAGAACTATAATTTTGAACGTCAACCAGCAATGGACGGAGTCTCCTATTTAAAAGAAGAAGAAAAGACAACTGTATGTATTAAAAAATTTATTTACAAGATTGTGTTTCTAACATTCAAGATCTCCTCTTACAGATTCTGAAACTTTTTTACCATCCTCGTCAACACACCAACAGAGTCCAATAGATCCATGGCACTGTTTCTTGGCATAAGTACCATCTTCATGGCAACTGGGTATGAAGTTTCCAATTATTCCTTTGGCGGCTGGAAAGATAGTTTCATAAGAATTTAATCAAGGTTCTAAATTTAATTCTTGAGGATTTAAAAGAATGTTCTGAAAATGAGTCGCCACCTAAGCTTACTCGTTGTTTAGTAAAAACGAACTTAAAGCTAAATTGTTGGGGAAAACACTTTCTTCTGGTTTATTCTGGATGATTACTTAACAGCTCTAGAATATTCGAACTCCTTATAAGATGCAACCATTTTGTTTATGGAGCGTAGGTGTCATTTTCAACATCTGTTTGAAATTAAGACCCTTCTATAAGGGTTCGCATAAGCATTATTTACTTTTCACGAAAGTGCAGACGACTTGCTTCATTTTTTTAATGCCCATAGCAACGATTGTTTTTGGTGTTCTACAATTACTATGTAGGTCATAACATTATCGAATCCAAGCATTTTTTTGATTTTAATGGGATAAATGAGTCCTTTTCAAATATAATAAAGTATTCTAGAAGTATCATTTGAGCTAATATAAGATTTTATTGCATTAGTTTAACGAAATTATATATGTTCAGTGTTGATCGTCTGTTCGCCATTGTTCGTCTATATTCTGTATTTTACGTCAAATAGAATTATTTGTGATTACCTCTTGATATTCTAATTCAATGTCTAAATTGGTAACACCATAGTTATATCCATAACATTATTAATTAAAAACTGTTTTATTTTAATTTAATCAGCCATTATTAAAGAAGTCATGATTCGGTATCACAAATTAATAATTTATAGACGTTCCTCCGTGACGTCATAGCAAACCATTTTCATAAGTTTCTTTGTGTCCTAGTTACGGACATAAGAAACTAAATTTCTAATTATAAATTTAATATGTCTGTACTTATATGCTAATATTTCTATCGAGAAGTCCGGAAATCAGTCATCTCCATTTTTTCTCAAAATTGAAATTCTTGAATTTTTAAATTTAGTTAACGTTGATACATAATAAGAATATGAAAAATTCATTTCCTTCTACTTATTATAGTATATTTTGTGCATCTCAATTTATTTCGAAACCATGCCCTATCTTAGAGATGACATGTTCTCGGAAGTGGGTGGCCACTTTGATTAGCCTGCGTAGGAACCGAGGGTGCGTGGTGTATTTCCTCGTTAAACTGTTCCGTAAAATGCTGGACTTGCGCGCGGGTCGTCAGGCTACCGAAGCAAGATAGCCATCCCCTCTGCAGAGGATCGAAATTGAAATGGCCTGTCTTCGGATCATCCTCAGGGATGTTTCCTAAATTGTCACCAACAGCCCATTGTGCAGCAACGCTAATAAAGTACCGACCTACCTACTTAGTCTAAGGCATAAATAAATTATATATTTCATTTCTAAATGTCAAATAAATTATTAATATTTTCGCTTGTTGAAAACAATGTCTGGCATGCATTTTAAGGTTTTGACCGAAAACAGGTCCTTGTTCTAATTATTTTTTTAATTAAAAACTAAATGATGTTATCTCTCATTTGAAAAGGAATATTTTATAACCACCCATACCTTAATATCACAATATAAAATAAATAAATAAAAAAAAAGTTCTATAGATCAAGCTGATACTTAACTATTCAGCTTTCTGTCTCTCCTATGAAATTAATTTTATTGAACATGACCGATTTTCGAGCTTTTTGATTCACTTAAATATAAAATAACAACTCATCATGGCCATAACCCATATTTTTGAATACACAAATCCTTAATAATAAAATATCCCTTCAGAGAAAACAAAATTATCTTAATATATTTTTCCTTTCAGTTTTAGGAGAAACTACTAGGTAACTAGAGCTAGAGAATCAATACAGCTATGCCAGTTCAAGAAGTACTAAACTAAACTCAGCGGCACGGCGGCCCATAGAGGGACAAAGCCTACTGTGGTCATCTCAGTTTTTTTTTATTTTTTATCTTGGACTTGGTGCAAGAACAGATGTTCCAGTTGGGTGGTCACCCCAACGCAGAATCCCCAATGTTTAGTCCCCAAGCATGCTTGATGCTCATTTTATCGACCCACTAACGAGATGAAAAGCTGAGTCAACCTTGCCCGTCCCGAGGATAGAACCAAGCACCTGTGGCGTGAGAACACGAAGCTTTACCACTCAGCCACCGGGCAATTCAACAAGTACTAGCTATAAAATGCTCCATTATTTACCTAATGATAACTCTCGATCTTTGTGAACATGGCACGTACATGTCTTGATCTTCTTAGAAGGATCGGTGATATGGCTGCCATCTGGTCTCCAGCACATGCAGAAATTGGAGTTTTCGAAACATTGAAGAGCTTCATAGTCTCCCTCTCGTGTGCATTTAGGCACGAGTTTTACATGAGCATTTGATTCGAGTTCTCTTTGGCGGTGTTCTTCACACTGCGAATCGGCGTTGGCACTGATCAAACACGCAGTAGCGATTACAGCGACAAAAACAACCTTCATTTTTCTCTAACTATAAAAAAAAGTTTCACAATTACTTTTTTATATTTTATAATGATATAATAGATTTTAAAAATGCACATTTCTGTTTTTACAAAAACTAGAATCTTGTTAATAACTTACGATTAATAATAAGTGATTTAGATGTATGCAGCTCGATAAAAGTTTTTAATTATGAAGGAATTTTTATAAAAATTGTTATTTTATAAGCAATATTATTATGAATGGAATATTTAGCTTCACAAATATCAGAAGCAATTAAACTGCAAGCAAATTCAAATAATTTAGCACAAAAAAAGTTAAAATTAATATGGAAAGTCAGAAGAAATCGAAACAAAAGGAGTAAAATGTAATTAGTGCAGGTTTGGAGGGTATAGCCATTTCTTAACGCAAAATCCATTTTTTTAAATCTATTTTTTAGGAATAATATTTTAAAAAAACAACTAATTGAGACATTTATTTTTAGCTAAAATTTATTTATAGTATTATATATTGTATTTTTGCTATTATAAACTGAATGTAATAATAGTTGTAAAGTCTTACATTGCATTTTTCATTTAAAAGACCGAGAAAATAACATATAATTAAAATAAAGCTTCATTTTTTAAAGAAAATATATACATAGATTTTCGATAGCACTTTCAGCAAACAGAAAACGACTACGAAATTCCAATGGTTTATTTTAAACTTTTTTTTTATAAATTATGACTAATTTGTATGAGATAACAATTTTTTCTAAATCTATAATTTATAATGCGTGTACAATTTACCTACATGCTATATGGCCCAAGTTATAAAGCGCTCGTTTCCCAATGAAGTGACTCAAGTTCGAACTTCAGAAATGGCTTGTCGAATAGAATTCTGCTACTGGCTAGTACTGATTGCAGTGCTGTCGTAAAATATTCTTCACAGTAGTAGATGGATGATGGCTTAGAATCCCCTTGCTATCGAGCAGACCAGGGGAGGTTTTCGAAGTTTTTGCCTCCATGTTGTTCACATGCGGGTTAATAATTCCAACGAAATAATTTCTCAACGAAAAATAGTTTACTCTAGTGCCTAATCTTGGAATTTTATTGTGTTTTAGGTGGGGTACAAATTATGAAACTACGGAGTTTTACCTAATTTGGTAGTCAAGTTGGGTAAAAATCCTTATACCAGATTTGGATTGGCTCTTAATGGCCATTAGCAAAGTAAACTATATTTGAGTTCGTGTAGAACAGTTGAAAAAATCGGTGAGCCTATTTTTAGGCATCTTCTCAATCGCTTAAAAAAATCTATTAAAAAATAATTTAGAATGTAAAATACTAAATAATTTGCAAGAAGAAAATTCGGAAAGAACTTTTTTCATTTGTTTTTTTGAATAGCTATTCAGTCAATTTCCTTGAAAGGTGTTGGAAATCTACAGGGTAAATTAACAGGAATCCCTAGTTATACCGCAGTTGCGGATTTTCCAGAAACAAACAGGTTGTTATATTTTGGTTCATAAGTGGAGCTGTAATTTAAAAATGAAGATGATATAAAAATTGTTTGAACTAGAGATGTCAGATTACAAAAATTAAATTTGTTTTGAAAAACACGCTTTTGTAAAATGTAGTGAGCTGTGAGTTAATTGAAAGACGCCGGGATATTGTTCCAATAAGGGATTGCGAAGAAACGCCCGACTAATTAAAAATCAACAAACAAATACCAGAAATAACAGTCTTGTAATCTCCATAATCCCACAAAATAAATTTATTCGTTTTTGTATTATTAGACATAATTTCCGTTAAGATTTGAAGATCATTTTAATGAAAGTGGCATATATAGATGAAAACGTTTTAGTGAACTTATGAAATTATATATCAAGTGCTTTAATTAATATGTAATTGTTAACTTATGAGTTTTTGTAAAAAAAAATTTGATAATTTTTGTAAAAAATATCAAGGATCAATTAACTAAACATATTTTTTTAATAACCATCACTTTATTTAAAACTTTTGTGCGATCTATTAATATTATTTATATAGAGATATTAAAATACTTTTTAATTCAGAGAATTTTGTGAATTTTAAAAATTCATTCGGCAGGCTTTTCTAGATGATCTTAATTTATCAAAAAGTTACTAATTTAACGTGACTTTAAGTATTTCTTAACAATGTTGCATTACACAGCGACCGAACATTTGAAGGAAAAAAACTACTACACTGTTAGAAATTTATCGGAAAAAGTTTTTAAATATAAATTTTTTAATTAATATTTTACCTCTTACCATATTCCAACAAAACAGTCAAGTAACCGTAAATATGAGTATAATCAAGATGTAAACAGTGAGAAAAACCGTTAATCAACTGCTTTCCCATGATACGGTTAAACAACCAGAGCACTCTCCAATGCCCGTTACCTAACGAAAGCATAGCTCTTATATCAAGTTAAATTTATTTTTAACGTTTTCGAAACCATGTTAGCCGTAAATGGTAAAAAAACACATAGTTTTGTATTCATGGTTTTAACACCTTACTAGTTGTAAACGGTTCCAAAACCATAAAGGTAAAAAATGTTACCGTAAATTTTACGGTTAATCAGATTCTGGTTATTTTACCATAATTATAGAATGAAAATTCTAACAATGTATATTTCGGATTCTTGAAGATTCTTACTAAATGTAAAAATAGTTATTAAAGTTCCTTTTTAAAGCCATATTGACTAAACAATTATTTTTCAGTTTTTGATGTAAAATAAATCTACGATCTTTTATCTCTAAAAAATCACTCGAGTTTTGTTTCTTTGTCAAATAAAATAGAAGTTGTGATGATTTAAGAAAAATATTTACTTTGGTTTTTGCATTGATAATTAGACCTTTTTTTGTCATTTTCCTCAAGAGTAATTTTTCCGTAATTTTTTTTTTTCATTTTAAATGCAAAATCTGAAAATAGTTTTGCATGAATAATTTCTTCACGTTTGTTTAGGACTACGGTCTAGACTACGGACTAATTGATTTAACTATTTTTTTATATTTTACATTTTTATATTATTTTTACTTCATTTTATAACATAAAAAATTACTAATTGCAATTTTTGGCTTTTTTCAATAAGCTTCTATATTTGCTATAAAATATCTAAATATTATGTTTAATGCGTAGTCTATTGATCCTAAACTGAGTCCCTATTAGTCCCTAAATTGAGTTTTTATGAGCATTAAAAAGCAAGAACAATGAAAAAATAACAAATTTCAGCTAAGTTATTTGAATTTTGGAAAGAGGTAAATTATTGGACTTTTTTAACCAGTTTATTAACCCCCTATAATTTCTAAAAAATATTTCTTTTCATACTTTTTGTATTCATACCATGTTTTACTGTATAACACACACATAAACCCCAATTAACAATTTCCAAATTAAAAATTTCAAAATTTAGCTTCCGAAGGTATTTGGGTATCTTACAGTAATCATTTAAATATAAATTTAAAAAGTACGGTTTGAAATATTCTATTAGTTTTCTTATTTTAACAGCAAAAATTTCGGCAAATGATAAAAAAAAGAGCAGTTACGTCACATATGATATGTATTTTGGGATATTTTAATTAGGATATGCATAGTTAATTCGTGAAACATTGAAAAATTCAATTAAAAAGAATTTTATTAAAAGTCACTTATTACTTACTTTATCTTTGAAGAAAAATAAAACGAATGGCAATCTGCTTTTTCTCTTATTATACACGTGTATAAGATCAACAGATTTCTAGTTTCACATGAAATTAAACGGTTTTTTAATCTGAAAAAGACCAACAAAATTTTTGAACTTTATTCATAAGATAACGTGAAAAGTCAATAAGCGCTATCTGTGATGCAATGAATCATACAGAAATTGATTGAATATTTTTTTTAGTATTTTTGAGCAAAAAGATTTAAAAGCATACTAAGTATTTACGAATACTAAGTATTTATTTAAGAATAAGTATTATTAACTTGTTATGAGTATTAATAATACTAAGCAATAATTAAATGAAATATTTATTGATTTTGATAGATTAAAGAAACATATTAAATTCGAAAAATAGAAGCATGAAAAAATTTAGAGAAAAGCACTAAAAATTATTAAAAATGGCATTTGATAAAACAGAAGTAATAATAATTAGTTCCGTTAATATTTCCTTATTAATTTTTCAAACACACTAGAAACAATACAATAGAATAAATCAACACTTTCAAGAAATCAATAAATCTGTTTACGCTTAAGATAAAAAAAGTTTTCAAGTGCGTGGAATTAAAAAAAAAATTATAAAAGTTTTATGAAGATTCTCCTACAATGATAAAAGAAACATTTTTGTTATAAATAATAACACAAGTCTATGAAATTGAAGTTTTTGAAAAATACAAGAGATGTCTTTATTGATTCATATGTTATTTGATGTGCTGATTTCGAAAATGACCTTCATTTTCCCCAATCACGTCAGGATTTTTTGTAAATTCGATATTAATGTCTTTACTAAAATCCTATTTGGAAAGAAATTCGCTCAAACAATTTTGCATGTAGTATCTGGTAATTGTCGTCTTCATTCATTTTGATCTATGCAAAATTGAATCTTGTGAAAGTAAATTGAATTTTGAGTGATCTGCCAATTTTTTATAAGTTAAAATAAACAAAAAATACTGTTTCTAGATCGCACGAGGCACGTCTGGTCGAGAGAAAAATAATAAGTTCCTTGTGTTTAAACTTTTTGCATCAGTTTCTAGAAGAAAATTACCTACATACCATTTTAATTTATATTTATTAAGATAACTTACGTAAAACCAAGAATAGCCAAGAATTACCAAGAATAGCAATAATTGTGTATGTGTACATGAAAGTTTGCAATAAAACACGAAACAAACAAAAGAAAAAAGTTTCCTTTTAAGTACATACTCGTTTTCCTCTTTAACTTATTTTTGATGATCTTCTTTCATGCTTAATCTCAGGTCTATCTCGAGCTATCATCCAACTGTAGTCGGCAAGCATGTTCTTGTCCCATCTTTCTTGATATTTACGCTCCATATCTCTGATATCTTGATGGAATCTTTCCCCTTGTTCTTAGCTGATTGCTCTTAAATTTTCGGGGGAAAAGTCCACATGTGACTGAAGGAAATGGATCTTTCTACTCATGGAGTAACTCTAAGTTTTAAATTTGTCCAGCATTTTCATTACGATTTCTTTATAATCAGGATCCTTGTAGTTAACCCAGAAATTTACTGCCGACATCTTTGAAAGTAACCCAAGCTTCTTTTTCCGTTCCTGTCATGTTAGTCTCAAAATCTTAATCTTTCATGAGTTTGTGGATATCTGGATCAACAGATATTCCCCTTTTAACTTGGCTTGGAATAAACCTGGAAACTTTTTGCACATATATTCGAAACAATCACCATCTTTTGGAACAGTCTTTACAAACTGCTTCATTTTACCTATTTCTATGTGTAGCCGAGGTAACAATACTTTTTTTGGATCAACTAAGCTGTTACGAATACCGTTCTTGGTTCCTGGGTCAAGATTTTGTCTTTTCAGCCATTCTTTTTTGACCCAATGACGGCTTGTCTCGGCTGTCCCACTCGCAAATGAAACCTTGGAACTTTGTAAATCCACTTTGTTGACCAATAACTTTTAAATCACCGCAAATAGTCCGACTGTTGTCGATATATTTTATTTTGTACAGGATGAGAGCCAGTTTTTCATAGCATTCTTTTAAATATACCGAGTGTCCAACTGGTACAGATGCCCACTGGCTCCCATGAGGAAGAAAGACAGCTTTTGATATTGGAGCCTTGAACTTTTCGATGTTCCAAGTCTGAAGACTCTGAAGAGATGACTGACAATTCAGTTGGAGGCAAAGGCACAGGCACATCAGGTCCATGAAGAACGGGGCGTATGGCCGATGGAATGTTAGGATAAGATAATAGCCTTTGATTTTTTTTTTGTTTATGAATAGGCAGGAACAAAAATAACAATAATCAAAGTGGTTTTGGGGCTCTCTCCACGTCATAGGAATTCCAAATCGTAAAGCAATCTTCTTTCCTTGGTGCCATAAGCGTAGATCATTGAGACACTGAGCAGAAACTTTATGAGGAGCCCTCGATTTGTCCTGGTCTCCGAGTTTCATGCCAAAATATGCAAGATAAAGTTGTCTTACATAGTCTGTAATGCTCCTCATGCGATTTTTAACAACACTATATTCGCCGAATATATAACAAAAGTCATCTGGGAAATTTTCACAATGTCTCGAACTTGAAGCCATAAACGCAAGGAGAGAAAAGCTGACGTTAAAAATGCTTCAAAAAAATGACTGTCTATTACGCTTCTTGGTGTTCCTAAGAGGTCAGCGAACCTAGATAAGACTTCTCGTGAAGCTATTGGTCGAGAGAGATTGTGACTGAGAGCTGGACGGTGATCGAAAGATGTCATAGAGGGGTATTTTTGTAGATTTAACCAAAGTAGAATGCTAGTCAGGCAAGAAATTCAAAAACGAAAAAATTTTATGATAAATATTCATAAAAATTCCAGTAAATTTGAATTTTTCAAGAAAACGTGACGTGATAGAAATTTTTCATTATTGTTTTTCATTTCAGCACCAAAAAATACATATAGTTCAGTTATCAGATCCCTTGCATTTTTTTCATCGCAGGCCTGTGTAATTATTTAGTTTCATTTTAATTATTTAGGTCATTTGTAATTTTCAGCTTAATTTTTCAAAAATTTGTCTAAGAAAGCTGTAAATGTAAAAAAGAAATACTAGTAGCCGTTTACAAAGGTTTTGTTCTCCTAAAAACTGTCTTATTTTTAATTTTTTTTAATACTGATGCTTACAGATTTAATGGATTAGCAAAAAAAGATTTTTCATAAAAAATGTATACCTATTTCCAATATAATTATGGTTTAAGTTAAAAAAGGTTTCAAATGTGAGGAAATAAAAAAAATGTGATTTTTCAAAAAAAAAATTATTATTGTAACTGGCTGATTTACTGTTTGATTTAAAGTAATTAAAAAATTTCAACAAAAGCAATCCAACAAATTAAACAAAACCTAAAGGAAGAAAAAGAGAAATAATTATTAGATAAATTTTTCTCAACTATATTTTCAAAATTATTACACGGGGTAATAATTTTTTTTTCTTGTTGCATAAGATTTTTTTAATAAACTTCATACTTTAATAAACTTCATACAATCGGTTACTTTTTCCAAGCTACAGATAAATTTTTTTTTAAAAATTCTATTTTTATTCTATTATTGTTAAAATGTACAAGTTTAAAAACTTTATATATAACAAGGGGTCAAGCAATGTTGCGACAAACTTCTAGGGGATATAGGAAACATCATCAGTGTTAAAATTGCATAGGAATCCATACACGGAAATGTCGTTGTACGTGGCTAGGGGCGTTTTCTTCTTATGAACCGTTTTTTCGTGTTCATCTGAACAAATTCATAATGGAAAGCACTCTGAGCTGCTTACTACGATATTTCCGGGCATGGGCTCCTATACAGTTTTAATTTGTCCCCAAATTTACGTGACTTAACAATAAGATACATTATTTGACTAATATACAGGGTGGTCCCGAATTCATGGTACAAACTTTAATGGTAAGTACAGGACATTGTAACAATGATTTATTGTATAGGAATGTATAGTCGCAAGTGACGCGGTGAGGCGTAAACAGAAGAAATAACGGCCGAAAGGAAAAACAAAGATTTTATTGAAAGCGTTGTTGACAAGTGTCATGTTTACAGTAAGTGTTCANGTTAATTATTCTCAAACTAACAGTCGAATGTTAAATATATATATATATATAAAACAACCATGATAAGAGGGTGTTGTTAATTGTCAAACTAATGTAGTATCATAGTTGAAGGCTATTTCTATTCTTTTACTTTTTATGTTTGTGTGCTAAATCATTCCTTTGTTAAAGTTATTTTACCCCTAATCTCATTTTCGATGATGAGTATTGTAAGAACCTGTATGTGTGCTTGATAAAACTCATGAGAAAGAAAAAATTACAATGCACTAGAGCATCCAGTATGAATTTATTTGATGATCTATGTACAAAATTGATTAACAGTTGGGATCTCCTCTTACAGATTCGGATACTTTCTTGCCTGCTTCATCAGCGCACCAGCAGAAACCAGTGGATCCATGGCACTGTTTTCGAGCATAGGTTCCATCATCATTGCATTGGGGAATGAAATTGCCAACCATTCCTTTAGAAGCTAGAATCGTAAATTTCTTTTATTTAATTACATTTTATAAATACAACAGAAATTAGTATTATTTAAGTATCTTGAACTTGCAAAAACAGTCAATAAATAACGAGGCAGAGGCCATTAAACTAAAATTATGTCATTAATAAAAATGGTGGCTGGCCTAAAAGATAATTTCTCGTGTGATTCAAGAAGGCAATAGTTAACTGCGCGTACAAAGAATGATAACAAGGTTGTGAAAGACAATAAAATTGAATGTTTCCGTAAACTTTCTAGTGGAGTCCTCCTGTTTCAATAATGTGCAGGACCACACACGTCCAGAAATACCAGAATTTATCATTTTGTCTATTATTTGTGTTAATTAAGAGATGGACCCGACATCGCATGACTTTCGGGAATTACCTCCTTCCTAAAAGGAGTAAGCCAGCAATGGACAAGGTTGTTTGGCCGAAGATCGTTTGCTTATTTTGTGTTTTCCTATTTTGTAGTAAAAGTTATTCAATTTTATTTTGAAGTTTCCTTACCATACCAATCGAAACTCAGTCACTACATATCCAAACAACGATTCAAATAGGAAGTTTAACCCACCAGATCTGTTTCAACTGCCCACCGTTATCATCCCCTGCCACATCTTCGAAGAGTTTAAAAAAAGTACTGTAAAGGTACTGTTGTCTCAAGCGGAGGACGAAGTCAAGAACGATTATGCAATTGGGTTCAAGCATTAGCTATACGAGAGGGGCCTTGCATACAATGAGAGTATCGTCACATCAGAATAAATGTCTAATTGATTATGGTCAATATATTGTAATATAACAAAATAAACTGAATCGTTTTTTATCTACTGTAGAAATCGTTATCGTATATTCACAATACTAGCAATTATGAGGTGGATTAAGGACATATTGTCATTGGCACAATATAAATTGATTGCTACAAATCGGATGATTGTATAGCTAAAACTTTCATTGGATACCAGATTCTTTAGAGTTTAAAGGAAATATAAAACTGATAAAACTAGTTGACGAATTTTATTAGATTGTAATTGAAAAATATATTTTATTTTAAGTCCTTGAACTTTTACTGTTATATCTAGGGCTATTTCATCCCCCCCATTCTATTCAAATAAAATTGAAAAAGGTGCTTCAAGCATTGCTTTATGTTTTGTACTGTGTTTAAATGAAACGAAAACTTTCCTTCCAGAACAAAATATGTCTACATCCTTATAGTATATTTATAAAAATTCTCTAAAACAAAACTAGTGGATTTTTCAAAAAAATCACTCACATTTCTGAAGTTCCCTGTCCTTGTGAACGTGGCACACACAGGACTTGACCTTCAATGAAGGGTCAACAATGTGGCTACCATCTGGTCTCCAGCACATGCAGAATTTGGAACCTTCGAAGCATTGGAGGGCTTCATAGTCACCTTCTGGTGTGCATTTGGGGACTAGTTTGACTTTGGTGTTGGATTTCTGTTCCCTTTCACGATGTTCTTCGCATGCAGTCTTAGCGAAAACACCAGCGAGGCAGCAGAGGGCCACAGTTGCGATAAGGAAAGCCTTCATTTTCAGTTGCAGCTACTAAAACTATAAGGTATATAATTTTTAGTCAATGATAAACACTTACGTGATTTCCTTTTAATGTTAACTAAGAAAAATGTGTAATAATTTATTATGAAAGAGACTTTTACACCCCAGTTTGAAGGTTTTTTTTCTTCCAATGGCCACCTGATTGACATTTGTCTGTCAGGTATCAGTAGGGCAGATTTGTTATTCACTTTGTCAAGGGCACCATATTAGATGACCATCGTTTCTTACAGTAAGGACAGATAGTATAGCGAATGAAACAGCGCCCGGGATTCGAACCCAGGACCTTTCTGATGTGAGGTAATCTCTCTAACAATCACACAATCCGGTCGGCACACAATATTAAGTAAGATAATGAAACATTCTGAAAAGCATGTTACTGGAATAATTAATTTTACATAGAGTCATAAAATTTTACTTGGAATCATAATTTGACATAAAGCTATATACTTGTATTTTACCTTGATGCTGAATTAAAAACAAATTTGCAAGACATGTTAATCTGGAAGAAAAGTTATCAGGAAGAAAAGTCATTCCTTAAAAAAATAATTTCTTCAAACTCAAGAGTCAACGGATTAAGGAAATATTTTTTAAAATAAAATTTGGTTTAATCTCAATTTTTTTAAAATTTTAATTAACTAGGAGGCTCTGCCTTCTGCTCACTCCACTCTCCAATCACCGCAATTGATTCTCATTCCTTATTATTTTTTTTCTTAAACGCCAATATTTTCTACGAAACACAGAGCTTTTTGTTTTTCAAAATTTACAATAATTGTAGTTTTATTTCAGAACATTTTATGAATCTCGGAAAAATAGATTTGAAAAAAGTTACCTTCGAATAGGTCTTAAAAAAATTAATCTTAAGAATACGGATTGTGAGACTCAATAAGAAGGAATAAATTAAAATTAATTTTACTCGATGACGAGACTTAAAGCAATTCAATTAGGGAACAGTTTTTATCACTCTTTATTATTTTTTATTATTTTAAAAATTTCAATGCTGTGATTTATATCTTAGAAATATGTATCTGAAGAAAAAATCACGAAAAAGCACTTAAATGTGCAATAATTTTCGAACAAACTAGAGTTTTGAAACAAGATTCGCAATGAGATTACAAGGAAAAATGCCTCATCAATAGCACATCTAATTTTTACTACATAGTTGCATTACATTGAGTTACAAGTCTACCAAGCATATTACTTTTCTAATGTCTCAACAAGTTTAAAAGTTAATTATTCTCAAACTAACAGTCGAATGTTAAATTTGTTTCTTTCGTCGTACTCCCTGTACATTTTTCTACAAGCCATCGTAATTTCAAATTTTTAAATCATCTAGTTTGTGCGTAGCTAAAAAAATGTGATGTAAAAAAGAAAATGGGAAAAAATTCGGGTGAAAAGCAATTAAAATTGCAAGAACTTTCGTTAGTTGAATTTCTGAGACCTGTATAGCAGCCTATATGTTTTTTTCCCAACAAGTTCAACAGTTAATAGTTGTTGAATGATATTTTTTTCATGCCATCGTAATTCCTGTACGTTTTTACGCACTTTATTAACTTCAATTTTCTAAGTTTTGAAGCTTTTGTGCAGCAAACAAAAATGTAACGTTAAGTTGAACACCGGAAACAGCGGTGGTGTCAGCGGCTCTTACGATTTTTTAATATAGAAATAGAGATGATAGTTGCCATTTAAAAACAATCAATTTTTAATTATCGAAGAATATTGTAAAATAATGACTTACTACATTTTGATGTTGATTAATATTGATATTTTGATATTGCAATGAAGCAAACCTCAAATACGGTTATCAAAGGACTGTAATTTTATGGGTTTTTCGTAACATTACACAGTTTCTTTCATTATGCAATTTTTAAACTCATCAAAATTAAGAAGAGAGTTTTTCACTACTGCGCCATAAGTAATAAATTTTATATTGCTAAGTATATTTCGCAAAATATTTTTATAAATTCCATCAGGAAATTCACAGGCTTGATAAAAGGTAACAAGAAGAGATAAACGTTCCACCGAGCATTAGCTAATAAAACATGATTAAAGGGTGAAAATTGAATAAAAAAAAGCACGGGACGAGCGGGTCTCAATGTATAGCCTCCACGTTCACCGGATCTTAATCAGCATGATTCTTATTATCTTATAGGGTTGCCTTAAATAATTATTTTTTGCAATGCCTGAAGACACACACACAAAAAGTTGTCATTGCACTGATTGTTGTTGCGTCAGACATCAAAAGCAAACCCAGAGTTCGTACGCACCTGGAAAAAATTCAAAACTGGTATCAACTTTGTTATAAAGAAGCTGAAAATTTCTTAATATTCGATTCCGCTTTCGAATTAAAATTTCATATCCTCCGAATTCGGATCTACATATATTAACTTAGAGAAAATAAAATGTTCAAGTAGCTATAAACATAATAATGTAAAAAAAATATTAATATTACTATCACTTCTTAGTTTTTTCCATGTGGGTATAAACCCTAAAACTATTAACCCTTGGAATATTTTTATGTTGTTGTTAACTGTACAATGACATTAGCTACGAACACCCCTTCTTGTATTAGTTAATCAAACAAATTTTTTTTGCAGTTAACTAGTTAGTTGTTATATTTTGTAGTTGTTTTCAGTATGGAGTCAAAACTTCCATGGGTTCTTCGAATTTTCATCCTTTCAACGTGTTTTCCAACTCCATGTTCTAGAATACGCTATCACAGCACTAAATTTATCGGTCAAATTTTTAAACAACCTCTATACTTCCCATCATATTTTTTTTATTTGCAAAATTTATATAAAAAATAATCAGTTATTGCGTTATCACATTTTGTTGTATCATATAAAAGAATATTTTCCTTATTTTGGTTTGTTATGATTATTTTTAAAAAAAATTGAACAAACGAAAATCAAGCTACGCAAAAAAGTAGTAAAGATGTTGAACATTTCTAATAAATTATCGTTTTAACAAATTATATCACGATAAAATAGATAATTTCGTTACTTGTAATTAAGTGTTTTATTTTTCAAATAATATTGTTGAGGTTGATATTTAACTGTTGAAAAATAAAATAGACATATTTCAGTAGGAAAAAGACAATTACAACCAATTCATGACTTACTTTATCAGCAAGAAGAAGTGAGCAGAAGAAAAATGAATTTCGTTCTTATACAAGGGCCAAGGTTAACAGGTTTTTGATTTCACACATATATACACAGGCTTTAATCAGGAGAAGACCCCCAGAAAAAGAATCTGAATCTAAGAAGATAAAAGAATCTGAAATTTTGATTCAAATGACATCTGTTAGGCTGTTACTAGGTCTTCTTTCATATTGTTTTTTTTTTTAAACTAAGATTCCAGTTATGAACAAAGTTTTTTTAAAAAGATTTTAGTTTAAAGCTAATAGCTAAGTTAATTGAAAATGATTATTTTTAAAAACACGGATTCATTATTTTTAAATGTAAAAATAATATATTTAAAATTATGAAGGGTTAGTTTTAAATACATTTATAAGAAATAGATAAACGAGCGAAATGTTTTATCTAATTTTCTGAGAAATAAAAGTTGGATTCTTAAAATTAAATTCATTAAATATTTCTGTTTATTTGAAAATGAAGAAAGATTAAATTTTCTACTAATTTACAATTGACTTTAAGAAATGTGTTTCTATTTTTTTAAAGCAATCTATCTCACAGAAGTTTTAAAGAAGATATTAAGCCGATTATATATTTCGATATTTATATTAAGATTTTCAACAACTATATTTAAATGCACAAAAATAAAATTTTATTAGATTATTAAGTCAGATTTATTTACTCAAATAACTTTTTTTTAAGCAGTTCTCTTTATTTTTCATTATATTAGCTAAACAAGGAAATGGAAATGCAACTTAAAAAACATGAAATCAATTTTTTCATAACGCAAAAGAGTGCGTTTTTGGAAGAGAGCGTGGGTTCGAACCCCACTTCTGACATTGAGCTTTTGGAGCAGTGATGACTCAGGGAATAGAGCGTTCGCCTTCCAATGAGGTGAACCGGGTTCGAACCCAACAATGGCTGATAGATACGAATTCCGCTTCCGGCTTGCACCGACCATAGAGCTTACGTAAAATATCCTCTGCGGTTGACGGAACATGGGTTAGAGTTTCCTTGCGCCAGGGTTACTGTGGGACATTTTCGTGGTTTTCAGCCCCATGTAACGCGAATGCGTGTTAGTTCCTTCAAAAAGCCCTCCACGAATGTAAACTTCTCCCCATACTGAATCCAGGAGTTCCCTTGTCTTCTGGATTGGGTTAAAAATTGCAAGGCAATGGCTTTGAACAAAGTCGTAAATCCAAAAATTGTCTCGGCTGTCCAATGACTGTTATAGTATATAGCAAGTATATTGAACTCCTTTTAAAATTAAATGATATTTTTCTGACAACAAAATCGTAAAACTCATTATATTTCTTATTGTTTTTTACTTCAAAATTTTATAAACTTATCTGTAAAAAAGTGAGTGAGAGTATTTTTAGCAATTCGAAAGCTATTAGCATAAAATAAAATACTGTTAGAATGTCACCCTAACGCGAAAACGTCATGACCTTTTGAACTTCTCCACTTTCCAGTTTATAATTTTAGTAGTGATTAATTTGATTATTTTTGAAAATTTTTACGACTCCGTTCAAATTTAGGTTGCGCTATTTGAAAGCATGTAGATTTATATAGCACAGAGACTTTGTACTTAAGGACCATGTACAGGGCACAAAAAAATGACCACCCTGAATAGCTTTTGATCTAATGATCGGATCTTCACGTTCTGGGATTCAACCTAAATGGTTCGAGAGGCATCAATTAGCATCAAATATGCTAATTGATCAGAGCAGACGATATTTTAAGTTACGAAAGCAGACACAAAAACGTACTTTCTCTGAATAAACATGCCTTTTTTTTAACAGATTCGGATTTTTGTCCCCCTAAATGCAGAGGGTAGCCGCTGATTGCGAAATATGATCCCCATAGTTTGGTCAGCAGGGCAATTCAAAGTTTGAACCCCTTGATATTAATTTTACTTTTTGCGTATTTTGTCATATCTCGAGAGCTTTTTAACAGAATTGAAAAATTTTTGCACATGATTGTAAAAGTTTTTTTTAAAAGGAAATTCCAAGCAAAAAAGAAAATTTTGTAAATATTTATGATTTTTTATTATTTTATTCAATAATGGTCGAAAAAAATTTAAAATTGTTAGGTATACAATTGTTTACATCATTTTAAAATATGCAATCTTACTTGATAAAATACAAAATTTGGGCGATATCGGTCAAATAAATTCTGAGAAATTGAGTTTTAAGGAAGTCGGTTATTTAAAATTCGATTTCTCTTAAACTATTCAACTCATTTCCCCCAACATTTGCATTTTTTCATAAAAAATTTCATACTTTAAAATAAAGTAAAAATTGTATACCTTACAATTCAATTATTTTCGACTATTATTAAGTAAAATAATAAAAAAATCATAAATATTTACTAAAATTCATTATTTTGCATAAAATTATATTTGGATAAACAATCTTCATAATTGGTTGCAAAAATTTTTCAATTCGGTTAAAAAATTTTCGATGGTAATATACGCAAAAAGTGAAATTAACAATAAGGGGTTCAAACTTTGGATTACTCTCCTGGCCAAGCTGTGGGGACTATACTTCCCAGATTGCTGTTACCCTCTGTATTTTAAAGGTCAAAAATCTGAATCGGCTAAAAAAAGGCATGTGTATTCAGATAATGTTTTTGTGCCTGATTTCATAACTTAAACTAAGCATCTGTACTAATTTGTTAACATGTTTGAATCCACCCCTCTAATCTTTAAGAATGTGAATTCTTGAGAATGTGATGATCCGATCACTAGATCAAAAGTTATTTAGAGTGTTCCTTTTTATGCTCACACTGTACAGTTTGAAATCCACTGTTGTTGAACGTAGTAATAGTAGAAGCGTAGTAGTAGACCTAACGTAGTGGTAAAAGAGTAGTAATTTTTACGGAAGTTCTTTGGTAAGGATTTTTGGTAAGAATAACAATAAAATATTTTTATTATGCTCTTTGGTTCTTAGGGCGATACCTTAGAGCATGGCATAAAGGAAATTTTATGGTTAAATTTGCTTACCAGTTTTATATTTTTACTAAACGTGTGGATACAAGAACAATAATTTTGAAAACTTGGATTTTCGGTAAACCTATATCATACAAATGGTAGCATATGAATGGTTTAATCAGCGTATATTTTAGTTATCACCAGAAGTACGGTAAGAAGACGGTTTAGTTATCACCAGAGTTACAAATACAGTAATTTTGCCTGAATTTTTTTCACCGCGTGTAATACCTTTGCTTTTTGTTATAAGTGAGAGTCTACAAAAAGTTAAAAATTTATTATATAATACCAATTTCAAGAAGACAGTATGACAAGAAATAGTGTGAAGTGCAACAACGCTTTTCTTTCATGTTAAATTTTATTAAATTAAAGAGCACTAGCTACAATTTCTTAAACAACGATTTTACCAGTCACCTGAGATTCACAAATCTCTTATCATTAGCATTTCTGATTTTTTTGCAATTAAAACAGACCTTACACCTTTCCTATAAGAATGTCAAATGCAAAATATTTGTTCCCCGAAAACTTCTTACTTATTTCTTTGAATTTAACGTACAGTGAGCAAACGAAAATATGGATAAACCTAAATAACTTTTGATTTAATGATTGAATTTTCTTGCTCTAGGACACAATCTTATCGATTTGAAAAGTATTTTCTGTTAAACTCTAATTAAGTTCGCATATAGAATATATAGCAGGGATATGCAGGCATCATAACTATGTTTCAAAGCATATTTAAAAATGTAAAAAGCGTAAAATGAAAAACGGACCACCCGTAATAACTTTTGATGAAACAATCGGATCTTCATGTTCCAGAAACCAATCCCAAAGATTCAAAGAGGTGATCTGAAATATGCTATTTTTAAATAGTGCAGACAATACTTTCTCTGAATCAACATACCTCTTTTTTCAACGAATTCGGATTTCTGATCTCCAAAATATAGGGGGTTGCCGTAATCTGGGGAATATAGTGCCCATAATTTGCTCAAGAGAGCAATCCAAAGTGTTGACCTCTTAATTTCAATTTTATTTTCCGCATATTTTTCCAGATCTCGAAATATTTTTAAAGCAAATTGAAAATTTCACAATTATAATATTCGTATATCCAAAGATAATTATATGCCAAATATTTTGTTTTTTTATTATTTTACTTAAAATTGGTAATAGAAATTTCACAATTACAATTAAAATTTTTTACAATTTTTTTCAAATTACGATTTTTTAAATCATTTTAAGGAATGTTATTTTATATGGCAAAATATTAAATTTGAGAGAAATCAGTCAAGTAGTTCCTGAAAAATCGAACTTTAAATAAACGACTTCTTTAAAATTCTGTTTCACAGAAACTATTAGATCGATTTCGCTCAAGTTTTGTATTTTACCATGTAAAATTAAATTTTTTAAAATGATGTAAAAAGTTATATACCTTACAATTCAATTTTTTTTACAATTATTAAATAAAATGAACATAAAAAAAGATAATAAATATTTATTAAAAGCTATTTTCACATTGATTTTTATTTGGATAAACGAATTTTATAGTTGTGTGCAAAAACATCTCAATTTGCTTAAAAAGTTCTCGACATATGGCGAAATATGCATTAAATTAAATTACCACTAAGAGGTTCAAACTTAAAACCGTTCTCTTGACTTTACTTTGGGCATCATATTTCCCAGGTAGCCAATAAATCCGAAACCATTGGAAGAGAGGTATATTTATTCAGAGAAAATGCGCTTTGTAACCGATTTTTATAACTTAAAATACCATCTGGGCTAATGATTAGAATATTTGAAATCATCCCCTCCAAACATTAAGATTGAGTCCTAGAACGTGAGGATCCGATAATTACATTAGAAGTTATTCAGAGTTATCCATTTTTTATTTTGCAGACTGAACATCGACTTTTTAGAATGGAAAATTTAGGAATTAAATTTTTTTGTGGTCAAACTTACCTGCTCAATTGTGCAACAAAGCAGATAATCAATAACTTATCTGCTTGTTGCAGGTTTTCGATGTTACAACCCTTAAGTTACAAGTAAATGCAATTAAGTTAGCTTGTACTTTTCATCTCATACGGTTCGAAACAAATTTGAATCGAAGCTTGTCCCTTCAGTTGCAAATTCTTGAGTTGCTAAATTTTTGTACGGTTCGTAATTCTTTGCGTTTCAAAACTAATTCGTATTTCACACTAATACTTTAAGAGGTTCTTTGACAGAAGGAAAAGGTTTTTTTTCCTTTTGTGTTATTCTAAGGAGAACGTAATTTTCTTATTTATTAAGTAACTGATTGACGTTTTCAAAATTCTTGTTGGTTATTTCATTAAGTGAAATGTGTTCTGTTTAACTTATGCGGAAAAGAAATTCCGATAAAATCACCGCATGGTATGTCACTAACATTTCGGATAATAAAAAAAAACATAACTTATTCAAATCCAAAAAAAATATCATTTATTTGGTAATTTTTGCATTAATATGGTAACGGTTTACCGAAAATTCCAGTTTTCATAATTATAGTTCTTATTATCATATGTTTTCAGAAGAGCAATTGAGAGCGAAGATGATGAAGTTGAAAATTTTAAAATTTGACTTATTATCATTATTTAGTACAAAATACAAAACTGAAAAGTAAATTTAACCGAATAAATTGTTTTTCTGCCATGCTTTAATGTATATTATAAAATTACCAAATTTTATCACACATTATAAACCATATTTTTTAATTATTTTTGCCAAAACCAATTCCAAATGGCATCGGTAAAATTTACTGAGATATTTGGTGTTTTCATAGAGCCAGAAAGACGGTACATTTTACCATATTTTGGTAGTTTTGACTATAATTTTTTTCTCGGTGCAGTTACTTTAACTGTACAAAATACAAAATAGTTATATTTCAATATGTAAATATAACTATTTTGTATTTTGAACAGTTAAAGTAAATTCACAAAATACAAAATAAACTGTAAATAGTTATATTTCAATCTGTTGCTGCTGTTTTTTTAAAGATGCACTCATTACTCTAAATTTTTTTTTTACAGAAAATGCGATTTCCTGACATGTAAATTTTAAATTTGTGCCTTTACTCTAAACTTTTTTCTTAAAATATAAATTCTTTTATTATTACCAATTAATTTTCAAAGCAGTAACTTTTTCTTGAAATTCGTAATTTTTTCTGGAAGTACTTTTACTTGTTTCCTTAAAAACTCTATTTTTTACCCTAAACTTGTTACTTTAACTGTAAATTCTTGCACTTGGGCCCCTTACTTTTTAAATCTGTACTTTGCATATTAAATGGTAACACTAACTGAAAATTCCTTGTTTTTTACTCGTTAATATTACCCGATATATTTAAGATTGTTCATTTGTTTGTAAAGAAGTTTTAAATTATTATTAAAAAAATTCGGTGTCCATTGAATAAAATGTTTTGCTGTTGTTACGTTGTTTTGTGTTAAGCAATTTTGTTACAATAAAGTAAAACGAATGTTATACTTGAGCAGCTAGTGATAGTTTATTTGATGGTCTATGTACAAACTGATTAGCAGTCAACATCTCCTCTCAAAGAGTCCGATACTGGCTTGCCACTTTCATCTGCTCTTGAGAATGTGATGATCCGATCANTAAAATAATTTCTAGAGTTGAGTTCAAACTTTACGTCAATAAACTAAACTTTAAAACAAAAAATATTAATAAAATGATTTATTTAAAAATATAATGTGTTAAATAAAATATAGTGTGTGCAAATTAAGGATTTATTTGTTATTAATTGCAAGTTTCAAAACTACGTGCTGTTTAGAAATAAAAACAATTCTGAAACTTTGATGCTGAGTTCATTATATTAATTTATTTTAATTGGAGAGCAGTTTTTTCGGATTCCGAATGATAAAAATACAAATCAAAAGTTCTACATTGGAGAAAAAAATATTTTGAAGAAACTGCCATGAATATTAGATGTTTCTATTCCTTTTGTAGCAGTGTAAGGAAAATATTATTTAAAGCATAAAATATTCCTAATTTTCCACCATCACCAAAATGGAATAGTTTAGCACTTTGTCATTAATGACTTCTTAAAAGTGTATACTCATTTTCTATTCAAAAACAAGTTCAGAAATCATAATTAAGCTATTTTATCAAATTAATATTTTACAATTAAAAGTCAGTTGAAATTTCAAAATAAAAATGATATTATTTATAAAACGTTCTAAATTACACTGATTTAGTAGATTACGTTATATATTTAATTGCTTTAACTCCTAGTTATTAAAAAGTTTTTTTTTTCGTTTGCAGTTTATCATTAAAAAGTATATTGTTTATATCTTACATAAATATCAGGTGGAAAAAGCATATTATAATAATTCTTAGAAGTTAGATTATTATTTCTTTATGATTATGTTATTACATACTGGAAAACACACAGTTTATTAACTATCAATTATAAAATTTATTGTTATAAGACATTAACGTTGGTTATAATTTATTGGTAGGAAAACCAAATACTGCGGCAATTACTTAGTTCAGCGTATCAATACACTGTTAAAAATTTCGTCAATGTTGAATTAACAATTTCTTTAATATTATGTTACCATATTCAAATAAAAGAGACAAATAACCATAAATAAGATGGTATTCAAACTTTTACTTGTGAGAAAAACCGTTTAATTACTAAATATGGTTATTAAATTGTCTACTTAATATGGTTACTTACCTAACATGGTTAAACATCCACAACTTTTAACGCACAAATTAGACCCAACTAAGGAAAACACTTTTTTTCTTGCAAATGGGTACATATTGTAGCCAAGAAGCCTAATCTGTAATTCTCCTGATCGACAGGATGGGGGTTCGAGTCCAAGCGTTGACACCACAATGCTTTCTCCAATGTCTTCCAGTCCTTTGGACTCCCCCTTATGACCCTGGCTGTTAGAGTACAATAACCTCATTCTCGCATAGATGACTGTACCTTAAAGCTGCTAAACTGTTAATAATCCCACCTTAATTTCCTTTTTTTATGGTTTTGATACCATGCTAGTTGTAAATGGTTAAAAAACAGGATAGTTTTGTATTTAACCATGCTAGTTGTAAACGGTTTCAAACACACAAAGGTAAAAACGTTCTTCATCGTAAACTTTACGGTTAATTGGATGTGCTGCCGATTATTTTACCATAATATTAGAACGAAAATTTCTAACTGAGGATGTTTGGAGGTTACTTACATCGTCTGAGTTCATTGTCTCGGTGAGCGTGGCATGCACAAGTCTTGATCTTCAGTGAGGGATCAACAATGTGGCTGCCGTCTGGCCTCCAGCACATGCAGAATCTGGAACCTTCGAAGCATTGGAGGGCTTCATAGTCACCTTCTGGCGTGCATTTGGGGATCAGTTTGACTTTGGTGTTGGATTTCTGTTCCCTTTCACGGTGTTCTTCGCATGCAGACTTGGCGAAAACACCAGCGAGGCAGCAGAGGGCCACAGTTGCGATAAGGAAAGCCTTCATTGTTAGTTACAGCTACTAAAAATATTTTATGATTTTTAAACAATGCTGAATTATTATTCAATTTTTAATTGTCTGTGAATAATTAATATGTTGGTATTTTGGTTTAATTTATGCTATTACTGTTAAATTATTCGCTGTAACAGTCATTATTTTGCATTGATAGCATAACGATGAAAAGCGAAAAATTGTTGATACGTATGATAATACTACAAACAACATGCCAACTGTATGTTTAATACAAAAATATACAGGGGGATTAAAATTAAATAAATCACAGAGTTATAAAACAGGTTTGAAGAGAAGTATTGGAAAAAATACTGCACGAGAAATGAATATCTGGTAAAACTACCGTACTCGTATAATAATTACATTTCAAATAAAAAAAAATAAAAAAATAAGTAAAAACATTGTTTTGTTAATAAAGCTAAAACTTTAAGCATTTAAGACATTCATTTTGTAACTTATTCGTTTGCAGGGAAATAGTTCAAAATTATAGTTCGCAATATTACACAGTTAGTATAACTTCAAATTATAAAACTGAAAGGTAAATTGTATCAAATAAATGATTTTTTTGCCATGATCTATGTAACCAGAAGAAAATTCTCGAATTTTACCGCATTTACCACCAAACACCATGGTAATAAAACCATTTTACTCGTTAATTTAACTGAAAATTATTACCTAAGCACCTCGGTAAAATTTTCCGGATTTATAATATGTGTTATAATACCAGATTTATCATTTGTTAAATGGGTGTAAAGTTCGGAATTTTCTAATGATACCTTAAAGCATGGTATTAAAATAATTTATTCGGTTAAATTTAAATTGGCAGTTATGCATTTTTTACTAAATGTGTAGTTGTAAGAATTATAATTTTGAAAATCTGAATTTCCATGAACCATTACGATATGAACGGAAAAATTTCCAAATGAATGGTTTAAATACCATATATTTTGGTTTTCATTTCGAACTATGTTTTCTTTAAACCTAAAATGTCTTTGCCACACTGTACGGTTATTTTATCAGGATTCTTGGAGTTAATTTAAACACTCTTGCTTAAAATATTAAAAAGGGCTTCCGCTAGGAATATCCGCATTTTTATATAATTACGCAATAAATAATTTTAATATTAATTTTAACTGTATAAATAATTAGAAAATAATCATCAATAAAAATATAATGGAATAAGAATAATATTAGTAATTTAGTTACAGTAATATCAGTTGTAGAATCTTAGCATTAATGATTGAATTAAATTAATATTAGTAATACAAGCCAATTTATAATAAAGTTTTCATCAGACAAAAAAAATGTAAACAAACTATAATATATGTTCTTATAATATCCATGCAATACCATAAATATTTATTTTATGTAATAATTATTATAATTTTAGTTTAGTTATTTAATATTTAAACTAAGTATACTTACTTTGCTTGTAAGGATAAAAGAGAAAGATTCATTTTTACAGTTGAGTTTATATAATTTTTTAACATCTGCAGAATCAAAAGTTTTCACACAGCCTTATCTACATTTGTGTATGAATTAAAAGCCAGAAATTTGAATATATGATTGTTTGAAGATAGGCCGTTAAAGTGTTGGAACTAAACATCTGCCTTTTATTTTCAAACTTGAATAACATCCCATATTTTAACAAATATTTTATGCAATACGATATTAGAAATTTTATTCCTTATTACCTAAGATGCTATTAATTATATTGTGCTTTGTTTATTAAATAGAATATTAATTAATGATAATCAGTTAAAGAAAAACTTAATAATAATTTGTAGGAAAAACTGAATATATAATGTTTTAAACATTCAGTATTAATTAATTTAACAAATAATTTATTTATGTCCTATTAGTGCAATAAGAAAAAAATTAATACCATCAAGTTTATATAATTTAATTTTAAATTTTCAAAAATAACAATTTATTCCTTTCAATACTGATTTTTATTTTTTTCATGGCGAAAGTATTTCTTTTAGCAGGACAATGTTTTTTTTTACCATTGATAGTATAGCTGATATTTTTCTGTTAAAATCTATATTAACATCATACAGTAAGATACAGGGAGTCCCATTAGTCTTTTTGAGTGACTAATAACCTATGAATGAATTATATCTCACTCTTTCTATTACGTAGTTTTGAATCATGCAAATTATGATTCAAAACTACATAAAAGCTTATAAAGGATATTTGTATTATTACACTCTATTTTTCTTTACTCTAATCTAGTTTTTTATTTTTTCACGAAATGATGAAAACATCTTTAACAACATGTTATTTCTTCAAAGCTATGCCTCCATGATTATTTTACAAGCGTTACCAACCATCCAAATAGAAAGAGGGAAATTTAGAAGACTATAATGAGCAAGTCTAATGTTAAAATGGGATCTATTTTACTGAACAGTCTACTTGGAACGTTCGATGTGAAATATATGTAACATAAGGTTTGAAAGGAGCATATACATTCAAAAGATTTTGGAATATGCATTCAAAAGGTTCGAAAGGGTTTAAATGAAATATTGTAAGTGCAGTTTCCTCCAGTCGCAAATTCTGGAATTCTCCTGTGCTCAGAAAATAAGACTCGTGTAAACATCTAAAGAAAACATTTATTTAAGCTAAACCAAACGTTCCACGCTCGCAACGTGTTCTCGTTCAATACAGCTGTTTAAAGACGAAAACACAGAAAAGTGAGTATCAAATTCGTGTTCCAATATTTATACTGTGAAGATCGGGACCACTTCAGTTCACTTCACAAGAAATAATGATCGAGACAGCAGCGACACTACAGAGTTCCCCAACGCAGTCTGGAAGACAGTCACATGGAAAATTTCACGTGGTTAATCTTTATCTCAGAGAGCTGAAATGCCGGCTTCAATCTGTCTATGCTAACAGTCTGCTTACGATCTCTAATTTGTATGGTGAAGTGCTTTGAAGACTTAGCTAGAACTAGATGTGGTCCGCTATAAGGTGGTACAAGAGATCTCTTTAATCTATCCTATCGAAGATAAACATGAGTACAGATATTGAGTTCTTTATGAACAAAAACGTTTTTCCTACAATGTTGTGAAGCAGGAGCGGGTCGCAAAGACCTAACTCTATTTTGTAAAAATTCAAGAAACTCGTTGTTAGTTAAATTTCTAGAGTTATAAAAAAGGTTCTCCAGGCAAAGTTATCGGTGTACCATACACCATCTCAGAAACAGAGCACTGCAAAGACTCCTTTATTGAAGCTCGAATACCAAGTAATATTGAAGGTAAAACTAAAGTCCACCCATCTGTTGGATGAGCACGAATCGCACTCTTCAATTGCCTGTGCAATCTCTGTACCATCCCGTTTGACTGAGAATGATATGGTGCGGTATGTACAAGTTTAATACCAAGAAGGCTAGCAAATTCTCGGTATAAATTACTCTCAAATTGTCTTCTCTGGTCCGTTGTAACCCTTTCAGTTACACCAAATCTTGCGATCCAGTATGAAAAAAAATCAAAAGCAGCTGTCTCTGCTTTAATGACCCCTAGAGGTACAACTTCAGGCCATTGGGAAAACCGATCCACACATGTTAAGCAATAAGCATAACCTCGAGAAGGGAGTGGGCCCACCAAATCAATAGGAATATGATTGAATCGCTGACGAGTTAAGGGATATGTACCAGGAGGACTTATCACATGTCGTTGCACCTTATTTTTTTGAAATGCTACACCGCATCGAAATCATTCAGCATCTTCCCTCTTGGCCACACGAAACGTTCTCTAATCAACTTGACGGTAGGCTTTGCACCAGGGTGGGATAATTCATGAAGAGTCTTAAAGATTTTATGACGAAAGTCTGGAGGAACGCATGGACGACACCTTTCCTCAACGTCACAGAAGAATTCTGTTTCCATACTTGGAACTTTGACAAAATTCAGTTTTAATGATTTATTACAAGAGTTTAAACCAAGAAGTTCCTTATCTATCAACTCAGCTTTAGCAAACTCTTTATAATCGATAGGAGAGGGCATTTCTCTCTCCGATGAGTAAAAGCGTAAATTAAAGGTTTATGATAGGTATAAATTGAAAACTCGCGACTTTCCAACAAGTAAGAAAAATGCCGAACAGAAGCGTAAATAGCCTATAATTCGCAATCATACACACTATAACGCTGTTCACTTGGGGTAAACTTAAGCGAAAAAAATGACAAAGGTTTGAACTCATCACCCTCTTTCAGGCTTAGAACCGATCCAATAGCTCGATCTGAAGAATCGCACGTCAAAGATAATTCCACATTTTGAGATGGATGCTTTAACATAGCTGTTTCACAAATACTAACTTTGCATTTTTCAAAAGATATCTTTGCTTCCTCTGTCCGAATTATAGGCCGGTTATCATTTTTCTTAGCCCCTTTAAGATAATCAGACAGTATTAATCGCTCATGTGCTGCGTTTTTCAAGAACCTTCTATAAAAATTAATTAGAGATAAAAATCGCCATAACTCTTTAACAGTTTTAGGTAGTTGATATTCATTTATTGCCCTAACTCTGTATGGTAGCGGTAGAATTCCTTTTACAGAAATCAAATTAATAATCGTATTAATAATCTTAAACTATTAATACAATAATTATTATTATAATATCATTATTGTATTATTAATCTTAATCTAAAATTATATTTCTGTCTGACAGTTGAATTTTCAATCCCTGTGTTTTACCTAGTCTAGTTATGAATTTGTTTTTGGTTTATATACACAAGCTAAAAATGGATAAAATCAGACAAATTTTGATTTACTTCGAAATGAAAACTTAAAACAACTGCTATATTCACGAAAGTATATTAAGGAAACATGAACTTATTAAGAAATATTAGATACTTTATTTCGATTTGAAAAGCTTCATCTGAAATATTAATGCAATAGGTATTTTAGAAATGCTTGTTCTTTTCATAATTTGTTCAATATATTGCTATTAAGAATATAATATTTTCTTTTAAAAAATGGCATTTCTATTTCTTTGCTATTTTACTTGAAATAATTTCATAGAAGCAACCGAAACATTAAATAAATTCTGAAATAATTATAGGTTGGATCTAAAATTAATCTGAGGTTTCACAACTCATCTCTGGTTACAATAAGTAATAACTCGTAGAAGCTCTTTACATCGTCCATGGAACCCTAGAGTTCCACGGAACAGCATTTGGGAACCGCTGCCTTAGAGAAATCAGTCAAGTAGTTCCTGCGAAATTGAATTTTGAAAATACGACTTTTTTAAAATTCGATTTTACAGAAATTATTTGATCGATTTCGTTCAAATTTTGTATTTTTCCCTGTAAAATTACGTTTTTAAAATGATGTAAAAAGTTATGTATATCTTAGAATTAATTTTTTTACTATTATTAAATAAAATAACAATAAAGAATAAAATATAATTAATATCTATTAAAAGCTATATTTTACATGGATTCTTATTTAGATAAACGAATTTTATAATTGTGTGCTAAAATTGTTCAATTTGCTTAAAAAGTTCTTGACATATAGCGAAATACGCATAAAATAAAATTAACATTAAGAGGTTTGAACTTTGAACCACTCTCTTGACTTTGCTATGGGCATCATATCTCTCAGATAGCAGATAAATCCACATCCATTGGGAAAAATATATATTTCTTAAGAGAAAATACGTTTTGTGTCAGACATTAAGATTGAGTACTGGAACGTGAAGATCTGATCATTACATTAAAAGTTATTCAGAGTGGTCTATTTTTTATTTTGCACACCGTACACCAACTTTTTAGAATGGAAAAATTTGGTAATCAAATTTTTCTGTAGTCAAACTTACTTGTTCAAATAAGCGACAAACAGGTAACCAATAACTTACCTGTTTCTTGCAGGTTTTCAAATTACTAAGTTACAAATAAATGCAATTTTTGTTACTTGTACTTTTTATCACTTAGGGTTCAAAACAAATTTGAAGAGAAGCTTGTCCCTTCAATTGCAAATTCTGACACAGCTAAATTTTTGTACGTATTTACGTACAGCTTATTTATTAAGTAACTAATTAAAGTTTTCAAAATTCATGTTGTTCGTTATATTAAATGAAATGTATTCTGTTTAACTTATACGAAAAAACAATTCTGATAAAATCACCGTTCGGTGCATCACTGACATTACTCGTAAAAAAATTATCACTCAGGTATTAAAAACCAGAAAAAAAACATTCATTTGGAAATTTTTGCGTTCATACGATAACGGCACTCCGGAAATTCTAGTTTTCAAAATTCTAGTTTTTATTATCATATATTTAATACAAAATACGAAACAGAAAAGTAAATTTAACCGAATAAATTGTTTTTCTACCATGTTTTAAGTTTTAAGGTATCATGATGAAATTATCAAATTTTATCACAAATTATAAAACCATATTTTACCATTATTTTAGCTAGAACCATTACTAAAGCTCTTTGGTAAAATTTACTGAGATATTTGGTGTTCCCATAGAGCCTAAAAGACGGTCAACTTTACCATATTCTGGAAGTTTAGACCCTAATATTTTTCTCAGCGTTGATACTTTAACTGAAATACTTATATTTCAATCTGTTGTTTTTTTTAAAGATGTACCTATTACTCCAAACTTTTTAGATAAAATGCAATTTCATGACTTGTAAATTTTAAATTTGTACCTTTTACTCTAAATTGTGTAATTGCACTTGTGTAATTTACTTTTTCAATTTGTACTTTGTATATTAAATGGTAACACTAACTATACATTCCTTGTTTTTTTAATCATTAATATCTTCTGATATATTTAAGATCATAAGTAAAAATATTTGATTGTTTATTTGTTTGCAAAGAAGTTTTAAATTATTATAGAAAAATTTTCAACTTCCATTGAATAAAATTTTTTGCTGTTGTTATGTTGTTTTGTGTCAAGCAACTTTATTACAATAAAGTGAAACGAATGTTATACTTGAGCAGCTAGTGATAGTTTATTTGATGGTCTATGTACAAACTGATTAGCAGTCAACATCTCCTCTCAAAGAGTCCGATACTGGCTTGCCACTTTCATCTGCGCACCAACAGAGTCCGATGGATCCATGGCACTGTTTCTTAGCGTAGGTTCCGTCTTGGTTGCACATGGGGACAAAGTTACCGATGATTCCCTGGGCAGCTGCAAAGGTAAAAGAAATTGCCCTCAAAATCAATACATTCCAAGATTCTTCTAATACAAGAAAATGTTAAGTATACCAATACACATTAATACGGCTTTTTCTACTTCATAAATTTTTTCAGATTGTTTTAACGACTTTCGTTCAAATTTTCGTAAAAATAAAAATGTTACACGCTTTTTTTTATTTCCTGTAAAATAAACCTTTTAAAACAGCTAGGAATTTTCTTCTGTAACTCTAAAAATTTAAATTTAACACTCTTAATCAGTTCTAGGAATTTAAACCGGAATAGTGTTTGAAATTCCAGTAGTTCTTTGAAATTAAATTTCGAAGTATTTGCCGTATGCATATGTAGGAATTTTTCTGACCTTATAAACTTTTGAATATGTTTGCTATTAAGACACTTTTTGGCAAAATAAAAATGCTTCATGGTTTGTTTATTCATATAAAATAATTTCATGAGTTGAGTTCAAACTTTACGTTAATAAACTGAACTTTATGACAAAAAAAATATTGATAAAATGATTTATTTAAAAGTATAATGTACATATAAATTAAGGACTTGTTTGTTATTAATTGTAAATTTCAAAACTACGTGCTGTTTAGAAATAAAAACAATTCTGAAACTTTGATGCTGAATTCATTATATTAATTTATTTTAATTGCAGAGTAGTTTTTTCGGATTCTGTGTGATAAAAATACAAATCAAAAGTTCTACATTGGATTAAAAAAAACTTTTTGAAGAAACTGCCATGAATATTAGATATTTCCATTCATTTTGTAACAGTGTAAGGAAAATATTATTTAAAGCATAAAATATTCCTAATTTTCCATGCTCTTCAAAATGGAATGGTGCAGCATTTTGTTATTATTGACATCTTATAAGGAACATAATAATTTTCTATTCAAAAATAAATTCAGAAATAATAATTAAACTATTTTATCAAACTAATATTTTACAATTAAGAGTCAGCTAAAATTTCAAAATAAAAGTGTTATTATTTATAAAACATTCTAAATTACAGTGATTTAGCAGAATATGTTATAACTTTAATTTCTTTGACGCATACTTAAGAATTTTTTGTTTCGTTTGCAGTTTATCATTAAAAAGTATATCGCTAATATCTTATATAAATATTTGGTGAAAAAAGCATATTATAATAATTCTTAGAAGTTACGTTATTATTTCTTTTTAATTGCGTTATTAGATAATGACATAAACATAGTTTATTAAATATGAGTTATAAAATTTATTGCTATAAAACATTAACGTTGGTAATGACTTATTGACAGGAAAACCAAATACTGCGGCAATTACTAAGTTCAGCATATTTATACATTGTTAGAAATTTCGCCAAAAAATATGGTTGAATAACAATTTATTTAATTATTATTTTACCATATTCAAATAAAACAGTCAAATAACCAGAAATAAGATGGTATTTAAACTTTTAATTGTGAGAAAAACCGTTTTCTACTTAATATGGTTACTTACTTAACATGGTTAAACAACCACAACTTTTAACGCACAAACTAGACCCACCGAAGGAAAACACTTATTTTCTCGCAAATTGTTCGGGGTTCGAGTAGATGACTGCACCTTAAAGGTGCTAAACTGTTAATAATTCTAGTTTAATTTCCTTTTTTATAGTTTTGAAACCATGCTAGTGGTAAATGGTTAAAAAACAGGATAGTTTTGTATTTATGGTTTATTTTTAACCATACTAGTTGTGAACGGTTTCAGACCCACGAAGGTAAAAATTGTCTTTACCATAAACTTTAGGGTTAATTGAATGTGGAGATTGCTGCCGATTATTTTACCATAATTTCAGAACGAAAAATTCTAACAGTGTATGAAGAAAATAGCGCGCTAATATGTGTGGGGGCTACTTACATCGTCTGAGTTCATTGTCTCGGTGAGCGTGGCATGCACAAGTCTTGATCTTCAGTGAGGGATCAACAATGTGGCTGCCATCTGGCCTCCAGCACATGCAGAATCTGGAACCTTCGAAGCATTGGAGGGCTTCATAGTCACCTTCTGGCGTGCATTTGGGGATCAGTTTGACTTTGGTGTTGGATTTCTGTTCCCTTTCACGGTGTTCTTCGCATGCAGACTTGGCGAAAACACCAGCGAGGCAGCAGAGGGCCACAGTTGCGATAAGGAAAGCCTTCATTGTTAGTTACAGCTACTAAAAATATTTTATAATTTTTTTATTATTTGACTAAAAATATATTATGAATTTTTGATTATTTGACTAAAAATATTTTATGATTTTTTAATTATTTGACTAAAAATATTTTATGATTTTTCTATTATTTGACTAAAAATATTTTATGATTTTTCTATTATTTGATTAAAATTATATTATGATTTTTTGATTATTTGACTAAAAATATATTATGATTTCTCGACTAAAAATATTTTATGATTTTCAGTCAATGATGAATTGTTATTCAATTTTTAAATGTCTATGAATTTGAAATAATATGTAGCTATTGTGGTGTAATTTATGCTATTACTGTTGAATTATTCGTTGTGACAGACATTATTTTAAATTGATAACAAAACGATGCAAAGCGGAAAATTGTTGGTAAGTTTGATAATACTACAAACAACATACCAACTGCATTTTTAATACAAAAATATACAAGAGGATTAAAATTAAATATAGCAAAAAGTTCAAAAACAGGTTTGAAGAAAACTACTAGAAACATGGAGAAAAGAATACCTGGTAAAACTACCATACTAGTCTACACGGAGAAAAGAATACCTTTTAAAACTACCGTACTAGTCTACACGGAGAAAAGAATACCTGGTAAAACTACCGTACTCGTATAATAATGACATTTCTGGTAAAAAAAAACAACAACAAACATTGTTTTGTTAATAAAACTGAAATTTAAATTATTTGAAGCATTCATTTGGCAACCTATTCGTTTGTAGGAAAATAGTTCAAAATTAAAGTTTTCATTACCACACAGGTAGTATAACTTAAAATTATAAAAATGAAAAGTAAATTGTACCGAATAAATGTTATTTTTGGTATCATGATAAAATTCCTGAATTTTACCGCATGACCAAACACCATGATTATAAAACCCTTTTACTCGTTAATTTATCTGAAAATTATTACCAAAACTCTTCGGTAAAATTTGCCAGATTTATAATACGGGATAAAATTTGTTAAATAGGGGTAAAGTTTAGAATTTTTTAAAGATACTTTAAAGCAAGGTATTAAAACAATTTATTATTATTAAAACAATTAACAATTTATCCGTTATCATATGAACGGAAAAATTTCTAAATGAATGGTTTAAATACCATAATATTTTGGTTTTCATTTCGAACTATGTTTTTTTTTTTATACCTAAAATGTCTTTGCCACACAGTACGGTTATTTTACCAGAATTCTTAGAGTTAATTTAAACATTCCTGCCTTAAAAATTGAAAAGAACATAATTAGAAATATTCGCCTTTTTTGATGAATTTTATATAATTACACAAAAAATAATTTCAATAATAATTTTAACTGTAATTAAATTAGATTTAATTAATTGTAGTTTTAATTGTAGTTAAATAGATTTAAATTAGATTGTAATTTTAATTAGAAAATAATTAGCAGTAAAAATATAATGTAATTAATAATGGCATAAGTATAATATTAGCAATTTAGTTACTGTAATATCAGTAGTAGAATCTTAACATTAATGATTGAATTAAATTAATATTAGTAATACGAGTCGATTTATAATAAAATTTTTATCAAACAAAAAAATTTAAACGAACTATAACATAAGTTCTAATATTATCCATGTAATACCATAAATATTTAATTTAAATAATAATAATTATTATTATAATTTAGTTATTTAATATTTAAAGTATACTTACTTTGCTTGTAAGGATTAAAGAGGACGATTCATTTTTACAGTTGAGTTTATATATTTTTTTAACATCTGCGGAATTAAAAGTTTTCACACAACCTTATCTACATTTGTGTATGAATTTGAAGCCAGAACTTTGAATGTATGATTGTTGGAAGATAGACCGTTAAAGTGTTGAGACTGAACATCTGCTTTTTATTTTCGAACTTGAATAACATCCCATATTTTAACAAATGTTTATTTTAAATTTAATAAGTTATTTTAAGTTTAAATTCAATAAGTCATTTTAAATTTTATTCATTATTACCTAAGATGCTATTAATTTAATCGATATTATACTTCGTTTATTAAATTGAACTAGGAGGCTACGCCTCCTGCTCGCTAACGCTCGCCAACCCCCGAGAATTGCTACGCAATCCTATGTGGTTCACGCCGTGAACCATGGCTCGCTGCGCTCGCTCGCCAATGAACACAATGTTCTAGCACAAAGACATAGTATATTATCATCAAAGACATAGTATTTTGTCATCAAAGACATAGTATTGTACTTATGTAGAAGAATTCTACTAATGTTCTTATTGGCTTTTAAAAAAGTATATTAGCTATTTAGATTGTGCATGGTGAAAAAATCAAAACATTAGCTAAATAAGAAACATATTAGCAAAATAAATTATCAAATATTGCTTCACTAATATTCTGCATTTTAAAGCGTGAAAATTCAATGCATAAATAAACGCGAAATATAAAAAAATTCAATGCATTCAATACAAACACTTAAACGTTTTTTAGACGTTTAGGTAGCTCCCAGTAGAAAAATATCAATTCAACAGCGGCCTTTTAAAGCATTCTCACTTCAATTAATTAATTAATTCCTAATTGAGTTTAAATTAAATATTGTCATGTTTTTAGTGCATGAATCTGAATTGAACAACCTGATAATGCTCACTCTGGTTATTGTTATCTGGTTGCTCACTACGTGCTCTTGCGCGCCGAATCCAATCAATTAAAAATGAAAACTGTTGCCAGTGCGAGAAAAGAAATATCATCGGTTTTATTGATACATACATACGTACGTATTAGCGTTTTATATAATATAGATAGATATTAAATAATGATAATCAGTTGATGAAAAATTTGATAATAGTTTGTTGGAAAAACTGAATATATAATGTTTTAAACATTCAGTATTAATTAATTTAATAAATAATTTATTAATGTCCTATTAGTGCAATAAGTAAAAAATTTAATACAATCAAGTCTATATATCTTAATTTTAAATTTTTAAAAATAAAAATTTAATCTTTTCAAGACTGATTTCTAACTTTCTCATAGTGAAAGTATTTCTTTTGGCAACACAATGTTTTTTTAACCATTGATATATAAATTATTACAGATATTTTTTTGTTAAAATCTGTATTAACTTCATGCAGTAAGGCACTGGGACATTGATGTCTCATTAGTCTTTTTGAGAGACTAATGACCCATGAATATATTATCATTCACTCTGTCTCTTATGTAATTTGAATCATGCAAATTATGATTCTAAACTAAATAAAAGGTTATAAATAATACTTATATTATTACACTCTTATTTTTCTTTGCTCTAAGCTCTATTTTAGTTATTAATTTTTTCGTGAAATAATGAAAAAATCTCCAACAACATGTTATTTCTTCAAAGCCACCACGATAATTTTACAGGTGCTGCCAACCATCCAAACAAAAAGAGGGAAGTTCAAAAGACTATAATGATCGATAATGCTAAAATGGGATCTATTTTACTCAACAGTTTGCTTGGAGCGTTCGATGGGACATATATGTCCCATTAAGTTTGAGTAGAGCCTATACATTCAAAAGTGTTTGAACATGCATTCAAAAGGTTCGAAAGGTTAAAATAAAATACTGTAAGCAACTATCGTTTATTCATACAATATTGTGGTTGTATTTGAGCTGACTTGTTTGACACTTTTGAAGCTTACAAATTTTAATTTTTCTTTGTTTATTTACCAAGTTAAAATTTTGAATAAAAATCCTTTTTTTGGCACATCTGTTTTCATTTACATAGAGTCTCAGTGTCTAACTCAAATTAGGATAATTTGACAAGATTTTTAAAACTTTCCTAAATACAGCTTTCGAAAAAGATAGGTAGCGAAATTGGTCCAACTTCGTGTTGAAAGCTTTACGCTCGAGGTTTTATTTTTAATTTTAGTTTTAATTCCGTTAATGTCTTGTACTTAATTTCGTAATCATTTAGGCGATGGCGAACTGGTGTAATTAACAAAATTTAGAAAGTGAACAATGGAATCCTTCGAAGGAGGTTTGCTGCTATGATAGTTCTGCGCTACACCAGAAGTGTTTTTTTTTTGCAGCCAAGAAGCAGGAAATTACGCCGAATTATTTATCAATTGATCCAGAATCTTTAAATATTGAAATGTATTTTTCTGTTCTGTTAGTTTGCAAAAATTTATTTGATAAATATGTTTTATTAAAAAATTAATTGCTCATTTGGCATTTTATAGAATAAATATTAAAGGTGTGAAATAAAGCCTCAGTTAAATTTTTTAAAGTTTTTTTTTAATTAGAATTACTAGTAGTTGAAATTTTAACTGATGATAAATTAAATTTTATGATAATATAATGATATTTTGCTTATAACAATATTTTAATTATTTATTGAAAAGAGAATTGTATGAAGAGTTTCAATAATTCTCTTTCTTAACCGAAATGCTGCAAAGTGGAAACATTCTCAGACCAAATTACTATAATTTGCTATTTACGATATTTTGATTATTTATTGCAGAGTTTGCTTTTTTTTATATGAAGAGTTTCAAGTCTAAGACTAGGTCATGTAAGAATAGACTAATTCAATTCTCTAAAATGAGCAGATGCTTATTCTAAAATGATCTCGTATTAATGAAAGCAAAGTTTTTAATATAAAATCTGTACTTATATAATAATCATGCTCTATTACGCTTTTTAAACTTTTAAACTAATAAAAGAATAAATATGGATAAGCTCTAATTAAGATTTAAAAACTCCAGTTAACTAGAGAGTTGGCTCAGCTAACTCTAAACTTTGGCTGACGACAACTTTAGATTGAAGATAAAGTATTGATAAATTCAGGTTTTAATATTCAGAGGACATTTGAAGTTCGTATTGTCAATCGATACAATAGAAATTTGAGGAGTACTGTGGCTAATTTGACTGAAAGTTTTCATTTTGATAGACACAAAAGAAACTTACTAAACGCGTAGCAAAAAAAAAAAAAAAAAAAAAAAAAAAAAAAAAAAAAGATTTATCGATGGCTGACAGCGCAAAGCTAAGCTCAGATGGCGTTGGGTGTTAAAATTCATCTTTAAGGTTTCATAGTTACTACTTCCGATTGATTGTTACGCCTAAGCTTTAAGCCCATCCAGTAATATTATACTTGTATTGTTTTTAATATAATGTGTTTTTTCAATTTAACTTTCAATGAAAGAAGCAAAGAATGAATTCGGAAAACTCCATGAGCTTGTTATGATGAACCCAAAAAATAATTAACGGCACTATTTTACACAAATATAGCCAAATAAGGGACACTCAAAGCGTGGCAAACTTTGCACTTTATTTATGCTGAGATATTAATTTCCTTAAATCTATCTTATGTTCAAGACCTGTCAGAATTCGTAAGTTGCAGAAAACTTTTATGAATGGTAAGGTTACACCTTATTTTAAACACAGATCACAATAAAACTTCCTAGAATATTAAGATTGTTATTGGAAATTGGATTGTTGTTGTATTGGAAATTTTCTAAATTTCTTTTGGTTTTAGAAAGTTTGTTATTGTTTACATTTCAACCATCCATATAATACATTAATTTCTGTAAATCCATTTTAATAAGATAAAAATGTTTTTAAGTTTGTAATTCACGAGAAACTGGAGAAAATACACTGCTATCCATCTCATTCCATTTACCATATTAAATTGGAAAGAAAAACTGTACTTATTCGTGTTACAAAATGTACTACTACGTGCAAATGTTGCAAAATTCATTTTTGTATTAAAATGACTCTCACTTCTAACATCCATTTTTCATCATCTTCACAAACCTAAAGTTCACTTTCATTTAGTTAGGCTTTCTTCTAACCATCAGAACCCATTATGAGATTTAAAAATCCCGTCTCAATTCCAAACAACCTGGCTCAAGTTCTCGAACGCATACAGAATTTACGAATGAGAGATGACCGCAATAGCCGTGTTTTAGTCAGTCATTTACGACCCAAAAAGAAAGAAAAAAAAGAAGAAGAAAGGGTTGTAAGTAACGACAGACTGTCACGCTTGAATTCGTTATGTGCCATTTTCAGTTTTCATTCTTTTCTGGATGAAATGTGAAAAACGGCGCCATCTGGTGACAAGCCAAAAATTATGGTTTCTATGGAAACGAAATGGAAAACAATATAAACTGAAAAATGACTTTTTTAGGAAGAGAATGAAAATGGTAAACAGTGAAGCTATTCCTTGTAAATCGGTAAGTTTGTTTGGGTAAATATTAAGTTTTTTAAATGCTTGTCAATAATATTTGCTTTTCTATTCGTTTAGGTTAAAAATTATTAAAAATTCAAGCCTATAGAAAATTACAAAATATGAAGGAATCATTTCAAATATTTGTGTAGGTTATAATCGTTTGATTTTTTTTTTCTTCTTACAGATATTTATAACTTCATTTAGAATTTCTTAATGTGCAAAAATTAATAAAATTCTTCGCTTGTAAAGTATTATTAAAATAATTTTCTAACGTTAGAAAATTAGAAAATTTTGTTACGATATTTTTTTTATTCTTCGTCGTTCAATTTTATTTTGTCATGTTTTTCGCATCAGTCAATAAATATTTCTTAAGCAATGTAATGGTAATAATGTTACTATTAGCGTATTTGTTAGATTTATAATATGTAACAATATCAAAAATTAAGCTAAATTAAGAGACAAAAGTACTGAATAATGTTAAACTATTTCTTTCTTTTTTTTCTTCTTTTTTTATGTTAAGGTAAGCCATGATGCCATAATCAGAAATAATTTTTAAATGGCATTAAATCTCGTTTTTTTTGCACCATTAAAATGTAAAATACAGGTGAGTATTTTACAGAATGGTAATAAAACTTAAAATAAGCTGGATGATTTTTCAAATTTCAAGTGACAAGGAGGCAATAATAGTTAGAGTAAATAATTATATCAAACTATTATTGTTTCCTGCTTATAGTTTTTTTTTTTGTAATTTTTTATATGTTTTATGTGACAAATTTCTTATATGTTTAATTTTTGTTATTTTAAATAGGTTTACATTATATAAAGATTTTAAATAATTAAAATTCAAACATTAAGTTAAAATATAGATGCCTTGTTCTTCATACAAAAAAAATTTATTTGCATGAAATATATTAGTAATCTGAATATATTTTGCATTTGTAAATTGTAAAAAATGTTCACGTGTTCATTGTTTCAGTTCTATGGTTCATATTCATATTTAAAACAAACGAGAGAATAAAAGTATAAAATATAAAACAGTAAATAATTAATATTAGCTAATATTAATATTATAAAATGATAATTATTCAAAATTCATTTAAATAAAGGGACATTTCATAGCGACATTATAGTGGTAGGTACATTTAGGTAAAGTGTGTAGCTATGTTTTATAAAATTCAAAAGTGTTTTGGATTTTCTTTTAAAAGAGATATTTGAAAGTTAATATTTTATAATTTTTTGTGCACTTAGCGTAAAGTAAGCTTGGCTCTATTTTATAAATTAGAAAATGCTCCAAGAAACTTAAGTACTTTGAATTGTGGTAATTGTGTATGCAAAGTTTCAGTACTCAGAAGAATCAGTATTTTGATCATGATAAAAAGTTTTTGAAGGAATGAGTGTTTTGAATTTTAATTATTGTGATTAAAAATTTATATTACTCGGAGGAATTAAATAATTATTAACTTGAAAACAAATATTTTCAGCATTTGTTCCTCTAAATCCATAGTTAATAATCATTCATAAAAATATAACATTTAAATAAGCGATATCAAGGTTAAAAAGAAAAAAGAAAGTTTGAAAATAAATATTTTAGCCATTAAACAATTATAACTGCTAGCGTTAATGTATTTCAGATGAACAATAAAGTCATTGCCTTTGGTCTTCCGTAGTAACCACCCTTAATATATATTTTTAGAATCCTATTCGCAACTGAAGTGAAGTATACATTAGGGATCACACATTAATATTTAAGCAAAGAAAAAAATAGTGCGTGGAGTCCCTCATCGCGGAAGAAGTTAAACTTCGTAACCTGCGACGTTAATTGTAGAAGAATCAGCAGTCCTAGAAGGATCACTAGTTCTATTCAACGACTCTTTTTCCTGCTCCGCTCGCTTCCGTGCTCTGTAATCACGGTAATATTGTGCATTTTTCCCTCGTG